AGTTCCTGTTATTTGTTTTCAATTTCTGTCTAAAAATATTAAATAGAATGTTCCAGAAATAACCAATTTCTAATTTGTTTTTGTTTGAGACAGGATTGTACTAAGTAACCAAGGCTGGCATCTGCCTTGAGACCATTCCTGCCTCTGTCTTCCCAATGCTGGGATTATATGCATATGCCGCCATACCTGCCTAGTGTGTAAATTTTAATTTTTTTTTGCTGTTTTGACTATGGTAATTAATCTCATGCCATCTTGACCCATCCTGCCAAGACTGAATCACTCTTTTGTATAGTATCTTCACCAATCCACAAGTCACTTATTTCATGGCTGTCTTTGATCAGACTTGGGTAGCTTAGTGTTTATGTTCATTCACATAACCCTTATTTAATAATAAACTTGATACTGGTAATGCCAATTTACATATGTCAGCTGTGTAGTGCTTTCTTCAACTTAAAAGATGAATTTATCATGGGCATGTACAGAGAAGAGAATTATGGGTTTGTACTCTTTGTAATTTCAGTTATCCACTTGGGATTACTGAAGTGTATCCTCTGGTAAGGGAGGACTTTGCCATTTTGTGTTTTCTTCTGTATCTATCTTGTATCTGTAACAAGGAGCCTGTTACAAATTCTCTTTTCCAGCTACATTCTCTGTTTTCTTTATGGGATTCTTTTATCCAACTGCTCATTTTGTGTCACAAGATTATATAAGCCTTCAGTAAAGGTTTCTCTGTAAACCTCTGTTAGCAGTGCTGCAGACAAATGTGTTATTATTTGTTCTTTTATGACTCAGACAGGCTGATCATCTGCCAGTGGTTGGGGATATTTCCAATAATTTAGACTTATTGTATGTGCCAACTGCAAGATTTCTCTCAAGAGAACCAGGAACTGATTGGTATTATACTTTGTAACCTGGCTCTAGAATTTATTTTTTACTTTGTTTTCTCCATTCTTTTTGCTTGTTTTTGTTTTCTAAGACAGGGTCACACTTTGTAGCCCTGACTGGCCTGGAGTTTACTATGTGAACTGAGTTGGCCTCAGACTCACAGAGGTCTGCCTCCTTGCCCCACTCTTATTTTTTAAAATTATATGCATACATGTGTATGTGTGTAAGTATGTGCATATAAGTGTGGGTGTCTCTAGAGGCCAGAAGCATCAGATCCTAGGGCTGGCGTTGCACCCCCTTATGGGTGCTATGAACCAACCTTGGGTCCTGGAAATGCAGTAAGTGCTCTTAAACCCTGAGCCATATCTCTAGCCTCCTATTTTTTTCCATTCCTATAAATATATTCTCTTGGTTGTCATAAACTATCATTTTAAATGATGAAGATAAATATGTGAAATTTATAATATAACCATATAGCAAACAGTTGGGGAAATTGGGATAAAGAAGAAAAAAAACACTGAAAAGGAGAGTTATTTATTTTTTGTGTGTTTTTTGCCTGCTTACATGTGTGTACACCATGTGCGTGTGAGGTGCCTGAGGAGGCCAGAAGTTGTCAGATTCCCTGGAACTGGAGTTATACGGGCTGTGCCCTCTGTGAGAGCAGTAGGCGCTCTCTATTCCCACTCCGCTCCCACCCCCTTTGTTTTGAGACAGGGTCTCAGAATGTAGCCCAAAGTAGCCTTGAACTCCCTGTAGTTGAGGCTAGCCTGGACAGTCTTCCTGTTTGAGTCTTCCAGGTGGTAGGACTATGGGCATTTGCTGATATGTCTACTTTTGAGAACTATCACAGCCAATTAGAAGTATTTTGATGAATCTCTACCAGACTTTTTCAATTTCTATTTTTCTGTACTGTAATAATAGTGAATTTTTATTTTAAGAAAAAACTTGCATTATTCACCTTTTATTTTTTTTCATGTTTTATGTCATTTGCTTATTGCTTGTGAAGTTAGTAGAAATGAAGGAGAAAAGGCCATTTAAGGGGAAATCTTATGTTTTTAGATTTGTAAAGAAATAATATTGTAAAAAAAAAGAAATAATATTGTTTTGTCGGCTACTTCAACCTTTGTAATATTAGTACCCATTAGCTGTACATTTAGAAATCACAAAAAAAAAAAAAAATTGCCAGGACTGGAGAGATGGCTCAGCGGTTAAGAGCACTGACTGTTCTTCCAGAGGTCCTGAGTTCAATTCCCAGCAACCACATGGTGGCTCAAAACCACCTTGAATGAGATGAGATCTGGTGCCCTCTGCTGGCATGCAGGCAGAAGACTGTATACACAATCAATAAATAAAATATTTTTAAAAAGTTGCCAAATTTTTAATGCTGCTTGGCAGCACATGGGAGATAGAGAAAAATCAGACATTAAAAATCAACCTCAAATATGTAAGTTTTGGATTGGTGCCTGGACTGCATGAGACCATCTCAAAAAGAAACAAGAAAAACCAAAGAAACAAGAAAGGGCCCGGTGGTGGTGGCACATGCCTTTAATCCCAGCATTTAGGAGGCAGAGGCAGAGGCAGGAGGATCTCTGAGTTAGAGACCAGCCTGGTCTACAAGAGCTAGTTCCAGGACAGCCTCCAAAGCCACAGAGGAAACCCTGTCTCGAAAAAACAAAATAAATAAGAAAGGGCAGTGGGGCATGGGGGTGGGGTAAATTTATCAACTACCAGGCACATTCTTTTTTTTTTTTTTTTTTTGGTTTTTCGAGACAGGGTTTCTCTGTATTGTTTTGGAGGCTGTCCTGGAACTAGCTCTGTAGACCAGGCTGGCCTCGAACTCATAGAGATCCGCCTGCCTCTGCCTCCCGAGTCCTGGGATTAAAGGCGTGCGCCACCAACACCCGGCCAGGCACATTCTAATGAGTGTGCTAAGGACTTTTTTCTTTTTTTTGAGGTGGTCTCTCTACATAGTCCAGGCTAACCTGGAACTCTCTAATCATAGAGATCCACTTGTTTCTGCTCCTGAGTGCTGGAATTAAAGTCATGTGCTGCCACCATGCCTGGCTGTGCTAAGGATTATGAAGGATCACCCATGTATGTTTGTTTGGAGAATCTTACTTTGTAACCTAGGCTGACCTTGAATTCCCACTCCTCAGCTTCGATGTACAGCTAATACAGGCTTGAGCTGTCCCAACTGCCTACATTTCCTTTATGCCTTCACCAGAAATCAACAAAGTATGCTGTTTGTCCATATTTCACAGTGAGGAAACTGAGTCTTGTTTGTTTACTCTTTATGTTTGTATGGTTGTGTGTGTGTGTGTGTGTGTGTGTATGCATGGAGGTCAAAGAACAACATTATTCTGGCATCTTAAGAACTCCTGTGTGCACTGGTGCACATACCTCATAGATACACATTAACAAAAATAACCTTTAAAAGAATCCCAAGTAGGCACACCTGCCTCCTAACGTCAACATACCTAGAGGTCTTTGTTCCTTCCTGATCCTTATTCCGGAGCCCTCTGCTTAGAGAAGGGGGACATACTAAGTAGAACTTGAGTTCATGGAAAGGACGTGCTTCCAAATGACCTCACTGTCACCTGACACATTACTTTCCAACTATATCTCTTGATTTTTAGAAGGACGGATGGATTCTTAGTCTTCAGTTTGAAACAAGACAACTGTAGATTCAGGCTTTTCTTTGAACCCATTAGAGATTTTTGTTTTGTTTAATTTTTACTATAAAGATAGTAAATATTGACTTATAGTTGGGAAGAATCACCAGTAGGAGTAGAATTACAAAATTGTGTTGAAAAATCTGGGCTTCCTTATCCTACAGTGTTTCTGTATCTGTAGTATATTGTCTGAAAACCTGACTGAGGTGTTGTTTGCAGGGACGAATTGATAAATGTGTAGTATTTTTCTTGTTTCTTGTCCCTCTGTTGGGCACTAAGGAGTTACTCATTGAAATCACAGGTGACTTTAGAGCATGTTGCTTGGGAAGATCAGGTTTTGACTGGGGCTCTAGGAAGTGACAGAGAAGCCGGAATCTACCTGAGCAGACAAGAGTAGAACAAGGAAAAGTATACTCTGAAGGTGACAGGGTACAAGATAGTAACTCTTACATCTCTGTTCCCCCGTACTGTCTCTTGACTGTCTGTGTTTCTAGTCCATCTTCAAACTCATATTCCTCCTGTTTCAACCTCCTGAGTTTTGGGATTGAGTGTGTACCACCATTGTAGGAGTGAACCCCACAAAGCTATCCGCCCAACAGGGCGGGGTCAAGGTAGAGATAAAAGGAAGTGAAAGGAAAAGGGGCTTCCCTTTTCTCCTGGAAGCCATCCATGCTTCTAACTCCTGGTCTGTGCGACTCTCTCTCTCTCTCTCTGGTAAATAAATATATTGTTTTCACTATATAGCATCGAATATCGTTATACACCACACTTGCCCAAAGAGATGTGATAGCATGGGATATATATGTATGATAAAGCTAAAGGTTCCTAAGCAATTACACATTAATAAAGCATACAATTTTATGTTAACATCTAATGAGTGAATAGTTGCTAATTCAAGGAAGGCCTTTATATCTTTTTTTTTTTTAAACTTATTTTATTTTGGCCGGGCAGTAGTGGTGCACGCCTTCAATCCCAGCACTCGGGAGGCAGAGGCAGGTGGATCTCTGTGAGTTCGAGGCCAGCCTGGTCTACAGAGTGAGTTCCAGGACGGCTTCTAAAACAATACAGAGAAACTCTGTCTCGAATAACCAAAAAACTTACTTTATTTTATGTGTTTGCGTGTTTTGCCTGAATGTATACTGTCCACCATGTGCATGCCTGGTGCTGGAGGTCAGGAGAAGGCCTAAGAACACCTAGAACTGGAGTTGCAGATTGGTGTGAGCCACCATGTGGATGCTAGGGCCTGAAAGAAGAGGTACTCTGTAGAGGCAGAAGGATAATATGTTCAAAGTATTCCTGAGCTACATAGCAGGTGTGAAACCAGCTTGAATTACGTGAGACCCTTTCTCAAAAACAACAATGAAAATGTTTCAAGACAGCAAATCTAGAATGTGAACCAGTTGTTATCTATATTATAGACAAAGGGCTATAATTGCTTTTCAGAAATGTAATAAAGAGCTGTGAAGTGGCCTTATAGAGTTCAAGTGATAGCCGTGCAATCATCAGAACTGAAGTTCATGTGCCCAGAACCCCTGTAAAGGTAGGTGCAGTAGTTCAAGTATAATCCAGCACTCATGGCTAAATGGGAGGTGGAGACAGGAGAATCCCTGGACCTAGCAGCCTGGTACATGCATCAGAGAACAAAAAGAGACCCTGTCTCAAGCAAGGTGAAAGGCGAGGACTGATTAATAGCTGGAACTCTCGCCAGGTGTTGGTGGCGCACGCCTTTTATCCCAGCACTCGGGAGGCAGAGGCAGGCGGATCTCTGTGAGTTCGAGACCAGCCTGGACTACCAAGGGAGTTCCAGGACAGCCTCCAAAGCCACAGAGAAACCCTGTCTCGGAAAAAACCAAACCAAACCAAAACAAAACAAAACAAATAGCTGGAACTCTCTTCTGACACATGTGCAGTGTGGTATCTGTGTCCTGACATACATGTGCTCAGACTCATATATACATGGACACATGTACATGCACATACGTAGGAAATGTAATATAAAACTAGCAAGTGCAGTAATGTGCTCAGACTCATATGTACATGGGCACATGTACATGCACATACGTAGGAAATGTAATATAAAACTAGCAAGTGCAGTAAAGAAAACTGGTATCTGTCCCATAATGCTTCTACCTTATATGGGTTCCAGGATCAAACTCAGGCCATTAGGCTTGCATGACCAGCACCTTTACCTGTTAGGCCATCTCAGTGCTGGTAGGTGCTTATGCTTGTAGAACAAGTGCTTTTACCCACTGAGCGATCTCACTTCCCCGGGAACTCATTCTAATATTCTCCCATAGTTTATATTTCATGGATGCCTTGCTTATTAGGGCCAAGAACCTGTTTCCATTGGAAAGAGTACTTCACCTGGGCCTGGGATGTAGCTTGGTTAGTAGCTGGAAGAGAGTTTCCAACATGTAGGATGTGCAGACTGAAGGGTCAGAAGTTCGGGGTCAGCCTGTGCTTTGTAGCAAGTCCAGGCCACTTAGGATATAGGATTGCTTGTCTCAAAAAAAAAAAAAAGAGAGAATTTTTCTGTGTTTTAGTTTTAGTTCTTATACTAATAGCATTAAATATACGTTTTTCCTCTTAACCCGAGTTCCTGGCTCTGCGGTATAGCAGGGCAGGAAATGAGATCAGCCCTTTTATCCTACTTGTCTGGTAAGTACCTAAACCTATGCCTTTTGCTCAAACCCTTCTGTATCCTTATTCTTCTAGATTACCCATATTTCTGTTCCTGAGTGCAGTAGAGTTTTGATTCACCATGGATAATCTGTCATCAGAAGAAATTCAGCTAAGGGCTCACCAGGTTACTGATGAGGTGAATGAGATTTTCATTTTAATTTTTTGTTACATTTTAATTGATTTAGGTTCTCTCTCTCTCTCTCTCTCTCTCTCTCTCTCTCTCTCTCTCTCTCTCTCTCTCTCTCTCTCTCTCTCTCTCTCTCACACACACACACACACACAGAGAGATTGAGATTGTGTGTGTGTCTCAAGCGAGTGGTAGTCAGAAATCACCTTGCAAGAGTCACTCTATTCCTCCATCATGTGGGTCCCAGGGATTGAACTCAGGTGACCATATTTGGTAGGAAGTACTTTTAACTCCTGAGACATTTTGCAGGCCCTTATTTCCATTTTCACAGTAGAAAAGTGAGAATTTTTTTAGAGATCATATTGGCTTCTTGATCCCTTTAAGATGGTTAGTATTTAACAGTTACTTGCGCCGGGCGTTGGTGGCGCACGCCTTTAATCCCAGCACTCGGGAGGCAGAGGCAGGTGGATCTCTGTGAGTTCGAGGCCATCCTGGTCTACAAAGCGAGTTCCAGGAAAGCCTCCAAAACAATACAGAGAAACCCTGCCTCGAAAAACGAAAACACACACACACACACACACACACACACACACACACACACACACACACACACAAAACAGTTACTTGCTATTCTGGAAGGAATTCTGAACTTATAATGGTTCCTTAAAATGTGTGTAATAGACATATTTCTGCCTACCTGTGTGAAATTCCATCTACCTAACCATCTGAAGCCTCTTAAGGAATGCCTAATAAGAAGAAAATCAAAGTGGAGTGATCTCCGTTTTTGCTTTCTTGTAAGGAAGGGGAGTTGTTGGCAAGTTTCAACAATAAAGTAGAATCATAAATATAGCCTGTGGTCAATTTGCTTCCTATATTTTTGGAATTCTGTAACTCTGTATTTCTTTCTAGTCTTTGGAAAGTACGAGGAGAATCCTGGGTTTAGCCATTGAGGTAAGAAATATTCAATGTTCACATATAGAAATTTATGGATGGGATATTAGCACTAGCTGTAATTGGTGTTATGTGAACCCAGCAGTTGCTGACCACTGTCCAGTGATGCACTGATAGCTCATATCTGTTTTTCTTTGAAAGTATTAGAATATGAATAGGGAAGATGAGCCGTAGGTTTGTGGCTTAGTTTCTTCAGGGTTAGTATGTGTGTTGATGTGAGATAGCTCGTTCCTGAGAACTTGGGTTTGTCATATGATTCTTGCCATTTGTCAGTATTTGCAAGTTTTGCTGTTGTTTTGGATTGTTTTCTTATACTTTCATCTTCCTCCTCCCCCTTTTAGACTCAGGATGCGGGAATCAAGACCATCACTATGCTGGATGAACAAGGGGGTGAGTTGAAGTCATTGAAGGAAGCTCTTAAGTTTGATTTACAATGTCAAAAATCCCTATGAAAATAGCCATTTACAAAATTCAGCCTTCTCTTAATAAGATAAAGGTAATATGCTTCTTCCTTTTCTTATTTAAATTATGGCATCACGGTCATCGCTGGATTGGGATGAGAGGAAACAGTGCTCAACTGTATATGAGTCTATGCTAGGCAAGCATGACTTATTGTGTACATTTGTCACATACACATTAAATATGATGTTCTTAGATCATTCTCAGATAGCAACTTGTAAAAGAGATCTAAATTGTGGTGAGTTAAGAAACATCCAATTGTTGGCCTTAATTAATCCCATCTAGCTTTCACTAGGGTAGTGACTAAATGCTAGAAATGCTGGGAACTGGGCTGGTTACAAGAGTGGTTTCTGAGCAACCCTCACATGCTGCTGGGCAACAACTCTTCCTACAGTGAAGCTCCAGGAGCCTTAAGATCAGCATTGTTTTCCTGGTACTGATAATCACTGGCAGGTGCTTGGTAGAATGGAGATTACAATTTACTGTTGGGTAACAATAGCATTTTCACTGGACATCTGTGAATGTAACACACCAAAACTTATTCTTAGAACAACTAAATCGCATAGAAGAAGGCATGGACCAAATAAATAAAGACATGAGAGAGGCAGAGAAGACTTTAACAGAGCTCAACAAGTGCTGTGGCCTTTGTGTCTGCCCTTGTAATAGGTAAGTTGATAAATCAAGACCTTTTAAAAATAAATCAGTACTTGAGAATATCCATGCCTACTCCTTACCCAGAAATAAAGTCAGAAGTAGCCGGGCGTTCGTGGTGCACGCCTTTAATCCCAGCACTCGGGAGGCAGAGGCAGGCGGATCTCTGTGAGTTCGAGGCCAGCCTGGTCTACAGAGCGAGTTCCAGGACAGCCTCCAAAGCCACAGAGAAACCCTGTCTCAAAAAACAAAAACAAACAAACAAACAAACAAAAAAGTCAGAAGTATAACTGAATAACTGGGTTAAATTGACCAAGTCTTGTAGCAAACCTCAATTTCAATCTGGGTACTAAAAGACCAGGAAATGTACATCCTGATGATGCAGAACATGTGGCATTTGTGTCTAGATGTTCAGGAGTAAAGAATGGAGTTCAAAAGACAGTGTGTTAGAGCTAGTTTTAGATGGTGTGATGTCTACTAAGGCTCGGGCACACATGGGCTAGATGATAACCTATAGAAGAGGTAGGACTTGAGTTGAGCTTTGTCACTAAAAGGATTTGGATGGATGTGGAGGAAAAGGTCTGGAGATGAAGCTAGGTGGGAGGTCTAGCACCAGAAAACAAACAAAAAACTAAAACACTGAAGGAAAGGGAATTTAACTGATCTGCATGATTCAGGTGAGAAATAGCCAATGAGTGTGAGTAGCTATAGAGGAACTTGGATGCCATAGTTAAGGAATTAATAAACTGGATTGGCATCATGACTGTGTACCAGGAAGCTAGTTAAAAACAATTCATTTTCTGGGTCTTTGAAGTTAGACTTTCTCAGTAACACTAGAGGATGAAATTATAAATCAATAGGGACGAGTTCACTTTAAATCTGTTGGCTGCATGGAGAGAATCAAGGAAGACTAATGATGGATAGTGTGTCCTACTTTTCATTTGTGTGATAGAACACCCTGACTTAGGGGAAAAAGGCGTTTTATTTGGGTTACAATTCCAGGTTATACTCTGTCGCCGAAAGGAAGCCAAGCAGGGACTTGAAGCAGCTGGTCACATCACATGCGAGAGCAGAGAGCAGAGGGTGCTGTGTGTGTGCTTGCTCTCACCTACTCTTCTCCCATCATCTTACTCTGTTTGGGCCTTCCGCCTAGGAAATGGTCACAGCCAAACCAGAGCTACATAGTTCCTCAGTTGAGGTTCTCAGTTGATTCTAAGTTGTGGCAAGCTGGCATTTAAAACGTCACAGGGCATCTCTAGTAAACGGAAAATGTTTTATAGTAAACTGTATGAGATTGTGTTTGACACAAAGGACTTCATTCGTTTTGTTTTCTTGAGACAGGATCTCACTGTGTAGTCCTGGCCTGGAACTCTCTATATAGACTAAGCTGGCTTTGAAGTCAGAGATCTGCCTGTCTCTGCCTCCTGAGTGCTAAGATTCAAGGTCACTCATTTTGTTTTAGTCCATTGTGAAAATTTCTATTCTCTTCTTACTCTTGGATGAGGCAAACTCCATGACTTTTGATTAATACTAGACATTCAGATAAGGTGAGGTTTGGACTGAGTCAATTAAACATTAATCTTTAGGAGCTCATCTTTGAACTCTTCGCTGAAATGACTGTCTGGGGTTAAGTTATAGAGCTTTATAAACAGTGCTTCTAGCTAGTTGTTCCAAGTAAGTATAATCCCAGTGTTTACCCTCCAATCAATTAAGTCCTCTACACTTACATATATTCAGGTAAGTATGCTTTTGTTTTTTGCTTTGTTTGTTTCTATTGTGAGTTATGGGGATTTACACTCAGGTCCTCATCTTACATAGCACAATCTTTTTTTTTTTTTTTAATAATTGTTTAACTATGTGAGATGTGTTGAGTTTGTTTCTTTTGTTTTTATTTTATTTTTTTTAAGATTTATTTATTTATTACATATACAGTGCTCTGCCTACATGCCAGAAGAGGACACCAGATTGAATTGTAGATGGTTGTGAGCCACCATGTGGTTGCTGGGAATTGAACTCAGGACCCCCGGAAGAGCAGTCAGTGCTCTTAGCCTCAGAGCCATCTCTCCAGCCCCCTACACAGCACAATCTTATACAGTATACTGTAAAACTGCTGAACATTTCCCCAGCTCTCAGACAAGTGTTTTTATGTTAGAATATTTTTCTGTTCAATTAAAGAAAAATTTTATGTTTATGAGTGTTTTGCCTGCATGTTTTCTGTGCACCAAGTGTATCTGGTACCTATAGAGGCCAGAAAAAGGCATCATCAGATCCCTGGAATTGGAGTCAGAGAAAATAATGAGCTGCCATGTGGGTTCTGGGAGTTGAATCCAGATCGCTGGAAGAGCAACCAGTGCCCTTAACCCCTGAGCCATCTTTCCAGTCCCTTGTGTGCAGTTTTGACTACATAAAAAAGTCAAGTTGCTTGTTGGTCAGCTTCTGGTTTTGTTTTTTTCATGAGCCTTTAGGATTTGACACTGTTCTTCCTAGCTTTAATATAAGCCCATTGACTTGTTTAGACCTTGGTTGACTCTCTAAAAGTTTATAGTTTAATAGCTGTGACTGAGGCTGGGGATGTAGCTCAGTTGGTATAGTGAGTGTTTGCCTAGCATGAATGAAAATCCTGTGTTTGAGTCCCATCCCTGCATAAAACTGGGAGTGGTAGTGTATGCCTGTAATTCTAGCATTCAGGGTCATCATCTTCCTAGGCTACATATTGTTCAAGGTCAACCTGAGCCCCATGAGACCATGTCTCCAAAACAACAACAGTAGCAACAAAAACTATGATGTGTCAACCAAGTTTATCAGATTGATTTAAACAAATAATTGTAGACTGTTAGTGTGATTGAAACTCTAGTCATGTTTTACAAACCCTGTCTCCCATGTTCCATGTACTGTCTTGGAAGAGTGTGGGAAGAGAAAGTAAATAAATTTCCTTGAACAAATAAAAAGACTCCGCTAGAGTCTAGAACAAGATTGACTCTTAAGTTGTAGGTTAATAAATGAAATAGCAATGAATTCTAAAAGGGTCAAAGATGAGAGAACATGGTGGTAGAGCAATGGGTGTATTGATTCTTTTTTTTCTCCGTGTGTCCCTGTCATATGTAGGTAAGCTTTTCTTGGACATGGGGAGAGAAGGTAGACTCTATATAGCCCTGAAGTAGGCTTTCACCATCAACACTGGTAGAACTCTGTCTCAGTGGAGAGGAAGCACCTCTAACAGATGGAAAGGGCAGCTGTTCCGTGAAGAGAGGGCAGAGTCCAGTTGAAAGATGTATAGGGGAGCTTTTCTTCTTCCTATGTCTTTACACCACTGACACCTTTGGCTGCCATTGTGTCATTTGTCCTGGGCCATCTCCATTACCTCCACTGTCTAGATCTTTCTGACCTTAGCTGCCAATCTGTTTCAGGCTCAGCATATAACCAGCCATAACATGAGACCCTCAGACACACACAGCATCTTAGGCCTTCTTGTTCTGAGTCACAGATTCATTCTAGCCATACTACTAGGCCAGTTGGTAACAACTTGGATTCATATATTCTTCCCTTCCTTCCTCCCCCACTCTCCTTTCTTTTCATCTCTCTTTTTCCCTCATTCACAATTGTTTGTCTACCATTCAGAAATCCATAATACTCTGGAAGATAAGAGTAATTTGTTGTTGTTTGTTTACTTTGTTTCATAACGGTGGGATTAGTAACTGCAACTGAGGCTATTGTCTTAGTATACTTTTTTTTGATCACTCTCAGCCTGGCATGTGTCAGGCAGGCACTCCACCACTAAGGAAGATTGAGGGAACTTCAGTACTGCCAGCAATAATAATAATGATGATGATGATTATGATGATGATGATGATAGAGGGAACTTAAGTACTGCCAGCTATTATAATAATAATAAGAAAAAGCAGCTTTAGAATTTTACTGAGGAATATTATCCTCTGGACACACTCAGGAAAAATTAAGTATGCAATGCCTTAAATTGTTTTCTTGTTTCTTTTTATCTAGTTTCTCAGATGGTGGTTGTTTCTTTGGAACCAGGCAGGCATTTGAATGCATCATGTGTTCAGAGCTCTAAATCTGCTCCTGCTCTGTTTGATTGACATTCACTGCTTCTCATTCTCTCACTTAATCTCTTCCTTTCTTGCTTACTAAAAATGAAGATCTAACACCAAAAGCCGGGCTCAGTAACTGATCAAAGGGATCTTTAAGATGCGGTCTTGAGGTGCAGACTGAGCTGCTAACCTGCTGTTCAAAGGTGATGCTTCAAATGGCTTTTCTGTGCATGTGCATGGGTTCTGCTGTGAGTGTGATGGAAACTGTCTTAAAAGTTGTGCCATGGCATGTAGTGTGAAGTGAATTTGTTCTTGATGGGTGCCATCAGGCAAAAGATGGACCTAACAAAAGGATCCTTGTTTGTTTTAACTCCCTTAGACTAATTACCAAAACTTAAGATTTTGCTAAGTAACATTAATATTAGCAAACTAAAAGCACTCCTGAAATTTCACAAGCTTTAAATGGTTGACCTTTGCAATCTGAGGCTACAGTGTAGTCTTTTAAAGATGGGGAACTCAGGCTGATTGCATCCCTCTGTTCATAGAAATTTAATCATCACCCTCTCCACTAGATGCTCTGGTACCTGGAGATTGCTTCTGGAAAGTATTGCTTCTCTGCATTTTTATTTCTCATGATTTAGGCCACTATCAAATTAAGGAATTAATTGTCATTCTAGTCATCATTAATTTAGGATAAAGTGAATTGTCTGTTTTAAAAGTGTCAGACATGGCCGGGCGGTGGTGGCGCACGCCTTTAATCCCAGCACTGGGGAGGCAGAGGCAGGCGAATCTCTGTGAGTTCGAGGCCAGGCTGGACCGACAGCCTCCAAAACAATACAGAGAAACCCTGTCTCATAAAAACCAAAAAAAAAAAAAAAAAAAAAAAAAAAAAGTGTCAGACATGGTGACCCACACCAATCCCAGCACTGAGGAAGCAGAAGCAGGTGGATCTCTGAGTTCAAGGACAGCCTGGTATACAGAGTCAGGTCTAGGACAGTCAGAGCTATTTTAAAACAAAACAAAAGAACAAGAAAGAAAGAGAGAGAGAATTTAAATGTTCAAATTGATTAATAGAACTAACTAATCCCCCACCGTGCCCAGCAAACTTTTAGTTTGAAAAAACCTAGAATTGTTTTTTGTTTTTAATGGAGGAAAAGCAAATTCTGAAATGACAGTGCCCCGTTTTGTAATAGGCACCAGTATGACCAAGTATTATTTATCAGTTGCTAGTCTAATTTGGAAATAATCCATGTTTTTCCTTCTTGACATCTTGTGTATTTTTTTTTTTTTTTGGTTTTTCGAGACAGGGTTTCTCTGTTTTTAAGAGACTGTCCTGAAACTTGCTCTGTAGACCAGGCTGGCCTCGAACTCACAGAGATCCACCTGCCTCTGCTGGGATTAAAGGTGTGCGCCACCAACACCGGCAACATTTTGTGTATTCTTAAAAGAAATTTAAAAATAAATGTACTGCAAATTTCTGCCATCAAAACAGATAGGGATTTGGGGACTTTTTGTTCAGTTGGTAGTGTGCTTGACTAACTTTTGAAAAGCCCTGGGTTGGATCCCCAGTACCGAATAACCAGGATGCACACTTTAAGTACAGCACTAGGGAAGCAGAGGCAGGAGGAATTCAAGACCATTTTTGGGTACATAATGAATTTGAGGCTAGCTTGGGCTACATGAAACCAGGTCTCAAACAAACAAAAAACCCACAAACGTGGATTTGATGGTGCATGCTTTTAATCCCAGCACTCTAGAAGCAGAGCCAGGCTAATCTCTTGAGTTTGAGGCTATCCTGATATACAAAACAAATTTTAGGACAGTTAGGGCTACACAGAGAAGCTCTGTCTTCAAAAACAAAAGCAAAATACAAACCAAAACAATGAAGCCTCATCCAGAACTACCCTATTTCAAACAAAAGGGGAAAAAGATGGGTCCAACTGTTATCTTCTTGGGATTATTTCAACCTACACATCAATCTCTGTGATTCCTCCAGTGAATCTTTATGTATTCTAGAACACCTTTCCTAAGGATCCCCTCCCCACCAGTATCCATTAACTTTTCTTTTCTGAAAAAGGCTATAGGCTTAAAGGCTTAAATACCAATTTTCAGTTTGCCACTTGCAAACTTTGCTTGTCTTAGCAAAGATTTGGTAGTATTTGGACCATTTAAAAATGATTAAATGATTGGGCTTTTTTAGTGCACGCTTTTAATCCCAGCACTCAGGAGGCAGAGATGGGGATCTCTGTGAGCACGAGACCAGCCTGGTCTACAGAGTGAGTTCCAGGTCAAGCTCCAAGCTCCAAAGCTATAGAGAAACCCTGTCTCAAAAAAAAAAAAAAGAAAGAAAGAAATGCTGTCTTGAAAAATAAAAAGATTAAATGGCTTTCATTTCAGCACTTGAGAGACAGGCAGATATGAGTCAAGGCCAACCTGGTCTACATAGCCAGTGCCAGAACAACCAAAGCTGCATAGTTTGACCCTGTCTCCAAAAAACCAAATAAAATGATTAAATGTTAGTGATAGCCTAGTTCTAGCCAGGAATTGTAGAGTCTTATTCATGGTATTAAGCATGATAATTTTAACTCCCCTTTCCTGCTTTTTGGTTTGCCTATATCCCTAACATTTATACAGGGCGAAGAACTTTGAGTCAGGAAAGAACTATAAGGCAACATGGGGAGATAGTGGAGACAACTCACCTAGCAATGTAGTATCTAAGCAACCAGGCCGGATAACAAATGGTCAGCCTCAACAGACCACAGGAGCAGCCAGCGGTGGATACATCAAACGGTATGCTAGCTCTTCCTCCTATTTCTACACCTCCTAATGAATGTCTCATTTTAAACACTGGCTGTAGCTACACATAATCTGACAATCTCCCTCCCTTCCCTACTCTTTTCTTTCATTCCAAAGGTTTCATGGTTGCTTGGAAAGAAAATCATGGCAGCAGACATAGGATGAAGGTGTTTTACTTGTTGGCAGACAACAAGCAGTGGGGCGGGGGTACAAGAAAAGGCGGAGCAAGATATACCCCCATGGAGCTGCTGTCAAACCCCAAGCCCTACCTTCTACCTCCTCTTAGGAATGCCGTAGTGCCGGTGTTCTGAATTATATGACATGATGGAAGAAATAGGGTCCCTCTGGAATGTAATTAGGCTCTGAGGCAGCAGGGAGGTCTAGCCTCAATGACTGAACCTCAAACTGCCGTGCAGAAGTATATTTGTTGTTATACCAAAGTTATTTTTGGGGGGGGGTAAAACAAATTCTTCATATGAAAGCCCCTAAAGTCGTAAAAACTATAAAGCTCCTTCAGTAAAGCAACTCTATATAGGTAGCAAAAACAATCACTGTTTTCTACGATGATTTCTTTAAGATCTAAGTACTTACAGACAAAACAAAAACAAAAAACAAAAACAAAAACCCTTTCATTCTGATTACCCTAGATACCCTTTGTTAGATTTTTCTACTCCACCGTAGTTTTCCAATCTACTTTAAAGTAGTAGTTGTTTAGATTTAGTTGTGCATAGATTGATTTGAAGGTTTATTAAACCCAGATTGAGGGCTGATAAGATGGCTCAGCAGTAAAGGAGCTTGCTGCCAAACCTGCTGTCCTGAGTTCAATTTCTAGTTCCCATATAGTAAAAAGAGAAAACTGACTCCTATAGCTTATCCTTGATATCATACATGTGCTGTGACATGTACACATGCATGTGCACAAACACACTGCTAAGTAAGTAAATGTAAAAGTTAAAAACAAAACAAAATGTACTGATTCAGCTGGTCTTGGAGTCTGAGGAAGGAGGATTTCCTTATCCCAGGAGCTATAAGGCTAGTCAAGGTAGCATGAAGACTATCTGGGGCAGGGAACAATCTGCTTTCCTGGTAATCCTAGCACTTGGAAGGCTGAGGCAGGATGATTGCCAAATTCAGGAACAGACTGGGAAACAGAGATTTCTAGGTCATCCTCGTCTATATAGTGAGATTCTGACTGAGGAAGAAATTTTTTCCCCCAAGAAAGGGTTTCTCTGTATTGTTTTAGAGGCTGTCCTGGCACTCACTCTGTAGTCCAGGCTGGCCTCGAACTTACAGAGATCCTCCTGCCTCTGCCTCCTGAGTGCTGGGATTAATGGTGTGTGCCATCAACACCCAGCGGAAGAAAATTAAAAAAAAAAAAAAAAAATTGCTCAGATTTACTCACAGTTCCTGATTGGACAGATTTGGAATAGAGTGTGAAAATTAATTACCATAAAAAGGTATCTCAGTGATGCTGGAAAACACTCTGAATCACTGTCCCAGAGTTGTGTGTTGATCATCTTCTATTCAGCTCTGATATTTTCCTGATCAGCCTTTGCTGTTTATTTCTTTTGAGACAAGGTATGTGTAGTAGCCCAAGCTGGCCTCCAATTTGTGTTGATCTTCCTGCCTTAGCTTTCTGAGCACTAGGATTACAGGTATGAACCACCATGCTTGGCTTCAAAAAAACCAAAAAACCAGCAGCAACAACAAAAAAAACCCTTTTATACATGTATGTGTGAACATGAATGCACATGTATACCATAGCATGTCTGTGGAGGACAACATTGTGAATTTGGTTCTCATTCTACCTTTACATGGGTTCCAGGAATTGAGACCAAGTCGTGAGGTTTGTGCAGCAGGAACTTTTACCTGCTGAGCTGTCTTGCTTTCCTGTCTTCCTTTTCTCTTCTCCCCCTTCCTTTGTTCCTTTCTTTCACTGTAGACTGTTCTCCAAAGTAGTAGCCAACCTTTCATCACGGGTCGAGCATCATTTTCATTACTTATTTTTATAAATAATAAGTAATTCCAGATTTAGTCCATCGTAACTCAACAAAAATTTCTGATTTAACTCTCTGTCTGTGATAGTATAACAAACGATGCCAGAGAAGATGAGATGGAGGAGAACCTGACTCAAGTGGGCAGTATCCTAGGCAATCTAAAGAACATGGCTCTGGACATGGGCAATGAGATCGATGCTCAGAACCAGCAAATACAGAGGATCACAGAAAAGGTAAAAAAAAAGGAAGAAGAAGAATGTAAGACCACAAGAAATGAGGTAGCCAATCCAGTGCATCTGTGCTGGGTACTTTGGGAGAAAGGGGGATAAATGCTATCTACTCAGAACAGTGTTGATGGGGTAACAACTCCAACATTTTAAAAACAAAAGGTCAGTCTTCCTATTTTGCTCATGGCAGATGGTTTGTTGTGAAGACAAGGGCTTAGAATGAAGTGTAACTTCGAACTCTCCATGTCTAAGAATTTGTTGTGTAGAGCTGCTGAGGTGGCTCAGCAAGTCAAGGTGCCTGCCTGCCACCAGGTCTAACAGCCTGGTTTTGTTCCCCCGGACCCACAGGAAGGACAGTTTATAGATATAATAAAGAAATAGACAAATGAATAAATAAATGTAATTTTAAAAGAAATTTAAGCATGTACTGAGTAGTCAGGTGGTGGTAGTACACATTTTTAATCCCAGCACTTGGGAGGCAGAGGCAGGTGGAGGCCAGCCTGCTTTACAAAGCACAGCCAGGGTTGTTACACAGAGAAATCTTGCCTTGGGAAAAAAAAAGAACAAAGAAGCAAGCAGAGAGAGAGAGAGAGAGAGAGGGAGGGAGGGAGGGAGGGAGGGAGGGAGGGAGGGAGGGAGGGACGGACGGACGGACAGACAGACAGACAGACAGACAGACAGACAGACAGACAGACAGACACTGAGTAAGCTGGGCGTAATAATCCCAGAACTGGGGAGTCAGAGGCAGACAGATCTCTGAGTTCAAGGCCACCCTGGTCAACATACAGAATCTCAGGACAGCCAGTGCCACACAGAGCAACCCTGTCTCAGAAAAACAACAACAAAGCAATGTACTGAATAGGTCCTACTCTGACTTTTTTGTGTGCTTTTTTTGTTTCATCCCTGAATGCGTGTTAGCTTTTTCTTTTTTCTTTTTTTTTCATTGATAGCCTAGTAAAGCTGAAGCTTCATTTCAGGAGTCAGTAGCAAAAATCAGTCCTGTAGACTTGTTCTTGTGGAGTATATATTAAAAATAAATGTCTATGTCTCCAGAGTAAAAAAAAAAAAAAAAAAAAAGAGTCTAGCTAGGTGATGGTGGCACATGCCTTTAATCCCAGCACTCGGGAGGCAAGTGCTTTTAATCACTGAGCCATCTCTCCAGTTACCCATAACTTATTGTTTCATTTTTGTTTTCTGAGATAGGGCTTCTTTGTGTAACCTTTGTTGTCCTGGAACTAGCTCTGTAGACCAGGCTGATCTTAAACTCACAGAGATCTGCCTAGGCATGTTCCACCACGCTGCACTTACTGCTCTGACAGAGGCCCTGGGTTTATTCCCAGCAACTATATCGGGTGGCTCACAACTGTCCACAGCTCCAACTTTAAGGAGTTGATACCCTCTGGCCTCTTCCAGCAGTTGCACTGGTACCACTTACAGGATACACCATTAATGGTGGTTTCTAAGATGCTGTACTCTGGGTTTAGGATATAGATTACACTTCATTTTAATTTAGATGCTTCTGTGGGTGGCACTACATCTGTTCCAAAAATCTTTGGCAAGGTTATTTCAGTCTTTTGCTCCAAACGAGACTCCTGTTCAGAGCACATTCTTGCCATACTTTATTGCCTCAAAAATGAGCTGGACATGGTGTTGTATGCCTGTAATTTTAGCCTCCCTAGAGGGATGGGAAAGTCCTAGCTCAAGACAGCCCAAGTAATAATATCCAGTCTCAAAAATAACTAGAGGTGGCTCAGTTGGGGTGCATGCTTGTAAGCTTGAGGACTTACATTTGGGTTCCCAGGCACGATGGAGGCGGTGACTTGGGCCGCACTTGTTACTCTTCTAGAGGACCTGGGATGGATTCCCAGTACCCACATGGTGTACCTCTTCAGTTCCAGGGGACCCAAAGCCTTCTTTGTGCCTTCTACAGGCACACGGTGACATATATGCAGGTGAAATACCCATACACATTAAATTAACTAAAATTTTTTTGCTTTTTTGTTGTACTGGGGATTGAACATAGGGCCTCATGTATGGTAGACAAGTACTCTCCTACTGAACTATGTCCTCACCCTCTTTTGTTGTTATTTTGAGACAGTTTGATCGTAACCCAGGTTGTTGTTAAACTTACTGCTATTCTCATAGTCTCTTGAGTGCAAAGAGTATAGACATATGGCCATATCTTTGTCCCAAGTATATAAAACTCTGTCTGTGTGTGTGTGTGTGTGTGTGTGTGTGTGTGTGTGTTTGTGTTTGAATGTAGGTTCATAGAATTGTAGGCCAGGGTGGCCTTGAACTCGAAGATGTCCGCCTGCCTCTGCTTCCCAAGTGCTGGCATTAAAGGCGTGCATCATTATTGCCTGGCTTAAACTTGAGACAGCACTTCATGTAGTGTACGCTAGCCTCAGACTTACCATGTAGTTAAGGAAGACCTTGAATTTCTGGTCCTCTTGCCTTTACTCTCCAAATGCTGGTATTACAAGTATGTGGCATAAATGCCCAGTTTTATGCAGTGCTGTGGAATTGAACCCAGGGCCCTATGCGTGCTAGGCAGACACTCTGCCAACTGAGCTACACCCTCTTCCACTCAATTCAATTTGTGTTAAAGTGTCATGTTTTTGTGCACAAATAAGATTTTTCTTTTTCTTTTTTCTTCCAGGCTGACACCAACAAGGATCGGATTGACATTGCCAATACAAGAGCAAAGAAACTTATTGATAGCTAAAGCCACTGCTGTGCTTCTTTACCAGTTACTCAGTTCTCTAGCTTCTTCCAAGTCATTACCTGTTGAGAGTTTGAAAGTTTGTGAAAGAAGGGCCAGAGGAGGAATGCCTCCCTGCTTCTTATTTTCTCTCCTTTGGGGGTAGGCTCCTGTTCACACTTCACAGCCTCTCTCAGTTCACACTCTTAGGCTGCCTTCCGTACATCACACATAGTCTGTCATCCTCTTCTCTTAGCTTCTTTTGCATTCAAGATTTGGAAGCATTGCCAAAGAGCCATGAAGAAGGCATCTGTTTAAGTAGCTTTTGTTGTTGGTTGGTTGGTTTGGTTTTGGTTTTGTTGTAAAGAGTAGAGGAAGGAACAAGAAGTGAAGTTGTTAACTCATTAAAGAAACTATAGATCAAAAACAAAACAACAGGCTAATGCCTGAGGTGGGAGCTTTTACTCATGCATTTTGATTTACATCACTATTTTGCAGCTTCTACTCTAAAGGAAAATACTGTGGGTTTTCTTAAAGTGAGCCTCACTTTTGGATTTGTAGTGATTTGTGTATGTACATAGGTTCTGGGATACCATTTCATATTGCACATGCAGGAACACTGTATAAATGAGTGCCTTTTATCCTCATATTATGAGTCATATCATGGTCCCATTGTAGGCCTATTAACCTTGTGAAGTTGTTATTAGTCTTTTAAAGATGTACATATATATGTGAAATATGAGACTTCCTCACTAAAGCAGGGCTTCAAAATTTTGGGGAAAGTTCGACAGTGTATCATGTGAATTCAGATTTACCTCAAAAACTAAGAATTACGTTTAGATATGAAAAAGAAAACTCGTTTTAATCTCAGGTAGAAAAATAGATTGTTTTGAGTTTTGTAGTTTTAGACATTTAAAAAGTTATAATTTGTTACTAAAAGTTGTTTGGGAAATTATGCTTTTGAATTAATTATTGATGACTGCACTGCCATGCATGCATACAGATCATGTTTATGTAGATCCTGAAGTTCTAGGAAAGCTGAGTTAGCATTTGCCACCTTTGTTTAAAATTAGCATCTGTATACTTCAGAGCTACCAAAGTAAATAACCATTGCCTGATTCTTACAATTAAATTTTGTAACTGGTGGTATTGTTCTTTCAAATAGGTAACATGTTTCTGACTTATTTGTGGGGGCAATCATTTTATCACCTTTTGTTAACAAATTGAATAAAGCAAATGTCCATAATCAAGCACTCTAATAGAAAACTGCAATCAGCTCTTTTCCAATTTTTATTACAAATGTTTACAGGAGTTTCTGTGGTTTGTCATAAGTCTGTTTTAGTCATTACTTGTCTTAGTCATTGAACTTAAATATACTGAGTATTTTTCATTCACTAAAGACGACACGACTAGCACAGAAATATCCAAAGGGTGAAGAAGACAGTATTTAAATAAAACAAAAAAAAAGAAATGCTCCATATCAGAATGGATGGTTTGTCAGGTGAAGGTTTTGATATACAGTGTTCTGCCTACACACCAGAAGAGGGCACCCGATTGAATTGTAGATGGTAGTAAGCCACCATGTGGTTGCTGGGAATTGAACTCAGGACCTCTGGAAAAACAGTCAGTGCTCTTAACCTCTGAGTCATCTCTCTCCAGCCCCATAAAAGTGCTTTTCTTAAAAGCATTTAAAAATGTTACATATTGATCTGACTAAAGGAACAGTGTAGTTGGTTAGAGCATGCACCAAAGCGCCCAAGTTGTGAGTTTCTCCTTTGCTCTTGTTGGCTGGTATGAGTGTGTGCCTATTTTTCTGTGCCTTGGTTTCCTTACCCGTAAATGAGAATTCATTATTCCTACTTCATAAACTAATTCACAGAACGGTAATGCCTAGAAATCTCTTAGAGTAGTCAGGGCATGGAGGCCACACTGGCAATCCCAACATTGGGAAACTTGAGACAGAATCAGCCTACACAATGAATTGCGAGCCAGCTTAAGCTACATTAAGTAAAAAATACCCACCTCCCAAGACAAACAAACAAAAACTCAGATGTAAATGTAATAAACGATAGCTATTTTCTCTAGAATGGAGGGAGTTCTTGGTCAAAGATCTATGAATTTGGTGAAAGACAACATAGTCCTTTTCTCCAGAGAAAAAGGCATAGAAACAGGTGGCAAGTACCTTTCTTTGCCTGCTGCTATCCTTTCCAGTATTCTTGAGAAATGACAGCAAGTAGTTAACACAAACAAGTCATTTGCCATTTGGGTTCATTTTTTGGTTAATTTTCTAGTATTGTGACCTTGAACACATTTTTTTTTTTTTTTTGAGACAGAGTTGCTCTGTGTAGCCCTGGCAATCCTGGAACTTGATCTGTAGACCAAGCTGACCTCAGACTCACAGATCTGCTTGCCTCTTCCTCCCCAGTGCTGGGATTAAAGGCCGTGTGCCACCACAGTGAGGCCTAACTTTATTTTTTTAAACTGAGTCTCACCATGTAACCCTAAAATTTCATCTTAGTTTGAGTCTTAACTTATATAGCTTACACCCATTTCATTCTTTCTTCAGTTTTAATTTATCCTTTATTCACACTCCAACTCTTTGTTTCTTTGTTTCTCTATGAAACAGTTCTGGCTGTCCTGGAACTCACTCTGTAGACCAGGCTGGCCTTGAACTCCCAGGGATCCACCTGCCTCTGCCTCCCAAGTGCTGGGATTAAAGGTGCTCACTTCAACTCTTGATCTTTCCGTATCACATGTGGATTCTGACTCCCATTAACCTAAACATCTACATTCTAGATATCCTATAATGAACATTTAAAATAAAATAAATTTTTTTTCGGGGGGGGGGGAGCATGGGCTTTTTGAGACAGGGTTTCTCTGTGTAGCTTTGAAGCCTGTCCTGGAACTCCCTTTGTAGACCAGGCTGGCCTCAAACTCACAGAGATCCACCTGCTGCTGCCTCCTGAGTGCTGGAATTAAGGGCATCACCACCACTGCTCTGCCTAAAATTTAGCTTTTTAGGGCTGGGGTTATTAAATCCCTCAATTCATGCCTAGTATTCAAAAATACCTAGGTTCAATACTGTACCAGCTTGTAAGCCAGGTGTGGTGGTATGTTCCTCTAATCTCAGTACTAGGTAGGAGGATTAGGAGTTCAGGGTCATCCTCAGCTATACAGTGAATTTTAGGACAATCTGGGATATGTAAAAGCATATTCAAAACCACAGAAGAGCCAATGATATGGCTCAGCAGGGAAAAACACTTGTTGCCAAGACTGACAACCCAAGTCTGATCTCCAGGACCTTCATGGTGAAAAAAGAAAGCCAACTCATAAAAGTTGTCCTCTGACTTCCAAATGTGGCGCTGTGGTATATGCAAGCCTGTGTACATGTACACATAAATGAAGTAAAAAATTAAAAGTTATTTGAATGCTGGTTTCCTAGATGATCTCATTAAAATTCCTACTTATCCTGATTAGGTTTCTATTCTGACTTGTACTTCTCATATTGATGTTCAGGTCACTTATCCTGAAATCTTTGTGTTTTTTGCCTCTTAATGTTGTGCTAGCTCTCAGCCTTCTATTTCTGTATAATTTACTCAGTTGTACTTTCAGGCTTTATAGTAAGATAAATGGCTTGTTTCATTGAGTTCCTGCTGTGTCACTTTTATGTATCTTCTCACTATAATACATACTTGAGAAGTGAGAAGTAGTTCTCACTTCTACATTTACAGATGAGAGTAAATTGCCCAGAAAGCTATTAAGTAACAAACTTTGGATCCTTAAATCCTCTGAGGACAGAGCCCATGATCTTACTCCATCCATATACCGACTCCAAACCAAATTAAAACTTAAGGTTTATTGGGTAGGTTTGTTTTGTTTTTAAAGATTTTATGTATGAATGTTAGGCCTGAATGTGTTTATGTGCAGCATTTGTCTGGTGCCCACAGAGACCAGAAGAGTGCTGGATCCCCTGGAACTGGAGTTACAGATGGTTGTGAATCACCGTGTAGGGATAGTAACTAAACTTGGGTCCTTTGCATAAACAAGTTACTTTTAATCTCTGAGCTCTCTCTCTAGCCCCTTACTTTATGTAGTTTTTAACCTCAAGAGCTTTAGTCTAGGAAGAGAGATAAATACAGGATGTGGAAGGCATTCTATCAGCAGATGGGGGAGCAGTTAATTCGGATTATATTTAGAGAAGAAGCTTAGCCAAGTAGTGAGAGAGGGCATTTTTTACAGACTCACACTAAAGCACTCTGGAGCAGTATAATCTGGTATGGTTGGACATACATGAAACTGAAGGGTGGCAACTTACTGATTTTTACAGGAGTAGGGAACACGGATGAATATACCTAAGTTATTAAATTTGTAAGTTCAGATTTGTTAGATGAACGGTACTGGCAAAATGCCAAGAGAAATCAGCTGCTCAGTGATCAGCAAGAATACATCTTAAACTAATAAAAACAAGCTAGAGAGTTGGCTTAGTGGTTAACACTTGTGGCTCTTCTAGAAGATCTGGGTTCTGTTCCCAGCACCCACATGCCAGTTCAAAATTATCTGTAGCTCCAGTTCCAGGTGATCCAATTCACAGAAAAATAAATCTGAGAAGAAAAAAAAAAAACCAAAATCTTCATGATGGATACTGATAAACTAGTACCACCTATCCCCAAATAGAGAAGACAACATGGAGGAAAAGAACACCTGGGCCAAATTTAAGGTCAGAAAGACTGCTTCTTGTGAGCCCTTGTGATTTTCCAACTTTAAGCCAGTTTTAACTATTATTGAGAACTATCAGTATATCTTTAGCCAAGAAAAGACTTCAGAAAACAGTCTTGGTAATCACTTTGCAATGTTCTTAGCAGTGACAATCTGAAATCTCTGTGTATGTGTGTGTTCCTTCCAACATTTTCTTAAGCATTATTCCCAGTTCCTCAGAAAAGTCTGATATCAATGGATTTCACTGCTCATGAAACCAAGCAAGAGAACAAAACATATTTCCAGTTTACTTTCAAAGAACAAATGACTACTCAACAGATTACCAGTTCTTTAAATGATTAACACTTATTCCAGACAAAGTTCATTAAAAATATTTTATTTAGTATATCCTCTCAGAGAATGACCATGATAAACATGTTACTTTAAAATATTATAGCAATGGTTTTCTTGAAGGTAATTTAATTAGTACAGTCATAAATACAAAAGGGGGAGAAATTACCAGAAATAACACATGATTTTTAACAAATCTTCAGGAAAATCTTGATTATTAAAATTCATTTAAAATCTTACAAGTAGGCTGAGTGTGGCGCATGCCTGTAATCCCAGTACTTAAAGGGGGTAGAGGTGGGGAGATTGTAAGTCTGAGGCTAGCTTGGACTACATAGCAAAAACCTATCTAAAATTTTTTTTTTACAATTTTTGCATATACTTTTAGCTCTTCAGAGCCTTCTACCAGTAAGGCACCTACAATAGTAAAAAAAATTGCTACTGCAGCCTTGGGGAACATTTCTTGGTGGCTGTTGTGTTGATGCTCCTCTTGACAAAGCTTGCTTTAAGATAACTACATATTTATGTACATCTCAAGTTCCAAGTGCACTGCTTTTGAATTGATGGACTGGAACAAAAGCATATGTCCTTAACCATCCAAGATTCCTACAAATTAGAATTTCATAAAAATATGAAGTGTTAACACAGAAGTGATGTGGTAACTGATTTTATGAAGCTGACACGATGCAGCCCAACAAAATCTCTAGCTGTGTTGTGGAGTCATTCTATTACAGGCAGCATTTCCTCACCGCACGAATAGCAACTCCTTACTGGTTTCTTAGAGCCCAACCAACGATGGTTTTAAAGGTCAACACTGGCCATTGCCCTATCCATGTTTCAAAATGAAGGGCTCTTCCTGTCTAAGTCCTCCTATAGCTTATCTGAGATAATCCTTTAAGGAAAAAGGTCATTAAATGAAACAATCTTGAGTATCTCCAACTTCAGGAGCCTCTAACTCGGCCAGATTCCAACAGAGGTTCCAGGTCAGTGTCCAAGGTTCCCATGGTCCTGGAGAACATCATGCAAACTTCTTCTTGGTGGCTGTGAACCTCTCCATGTACTAAAAACAGGCAAGAAAAATATACATATGATATTTGGCATGGGCAAATATAATGGTATTTTTTTAATTTGAGTTTTTGCATTTGTTTCTTTTTAATTTGACTTGGTTCATTTCATACAAAATTATTTTTCTCCTTTTTTGAGACATGTCACTATATAATCCTTGATGGCCTTTAAACTCCCAGAGATTACCTGCCTCTGCCTCCTAAGTGCTAGGATTAAAGCCATGCTATCACACCCTACAAAGTCTAACTATTAAAGCACATTGATTTTTTTCCATGTATTTTACTAGGAAGCATAAAAAGATGCTTTACTGTAAGCAGAATGTGGAGAAAGTCATCTTGGCATAATACAACTGACCAAGTCTTAGAACTACCTCCAAAATATGAACCTGGTGATGCTAACTGTAGCTATCACCCAGGTTACCTCAGCATTTTCTCTAGTGCACACATTGGAAATGTAGAATATGCTAATACACACCTTATCATAACCCTCTAGTTCTCGAAGTTTCTTTATTTCAAAGAGATTGCCTTCCACAGCAAGCAGGCAGATCTGGGAGTCACTGAGGATGCTCTGTGGAAGCATGCTGAGCTCAAGGCAGTTTTCCTCCAGGCGGAGGACTTTCAGGCGAGGACAGCAGGATATCTTCACTGAGATCTGAGATATCTGTTGAACACAAAACAGTGAGAGGACCAAGAGCATAATGACTACTTTTTACTACACTGAGACAAATCTTGACTGCCCTAGTTTTTCTTCTACCGCCTCTATTTTCTCACTACCTACTCATTACAGAAGCCTCTGTTAACATACCTTCTGTTACTCCTCCACTTTCAAAGCAAATGATTTGAATGTTACCAGTAGCTTTTCAGAAATAAAAACTAATAATAAAAGTACTGTACACTTATAGAAAATACGAGAATTGTGTAAGTTTAAGGAAAAAGTTTACCACTAACCTCAGGAAGAGCCAAACATTTTGATACCTGCTGCTTTATTGCTGAAGTCAAGGTTTCATGCTGCCCATGCACGGCTGCATCTGACTATCCATCCTTTTCTTGAGACTCCTCTTGTGCATGACACTATATGTTTCCCCTTTTGGAATTCTCCTGATTTTTTGACATTTTTATTATTTATTATTTATTTATTATTTTTATTATTTATTTATTTATTTATTATATTTAAATATATTTATTATTACTATTATTATTTTTTTTTTGGTTTTTTGAGACAGGGTTTCTCTGTATTGTTTTAGAGGCTGTCCTGGAACTCGATCTGTAGACCAGGCTGGCCTTGAACTCAGAGATCCGCCTGCCTCTGCTGGAATTAAAGATGTGCTCCATCAACACCTGGCAACATCTTTTTATTTCTTAACAATTATTTTCAAGCAGAAATCCCTAATGCTTCATATTTCACAGTCTCAACCTTCTAGGAAACAATCATTCTTAAAGTCATTTCACTTATGACCCCAATGACCTCAAAATCTACAGTATCAACAGTCCTATCTACTAATCTCTAGTACAGTTTTGTATGTACACTTTTCACTAAAACATTTCGATGAGTCAAATGATGAACTCTGTAGAGGCCTTGTGGAGGCCTTCCAGGTCGATAGTGAACACTTTTGTCTTTGATCATGCATTTCTTTGGCCCATTAAATGCTCTAAGTTCTTTTCCTTCCCATGCTGCAGGATGAACCAGAGTCTCATGCATGGCACACAATTACTGTACTACTAACTGTTCTCCAGCCCCAGGTCACTAAATTCTATTGACTACTTGCTATGTTAACTAAGATTCAAAACAAGGGAAAACATTTCAAATATAAAGTTGTCAAATGATAAGCTAAGGTAGCTCCAGAAAAACAATCACTTAAGGATTTTTCAGCAAAAGGGCACATATTTAAGAAAGCAAAAACTAAGTAAATAAATAAAATGATGCCTGACTCTCAGATTCTAAGGGTTTAGGCCTCATCCCAACATGATTGTGGGTGTGAAAAGGAACCAAAGATTTGCAAAATTCATTAGTTTTTTTTCCCCCCCGTAATTATCCTATTACTCTGTTCTGTCTTCCTCAGACCACCTTGGACACTATTAACTGCCACTATCAGCCCACTCTATGACACTGGGCATTGAAATAAGTTCAGTTCATGGAATATATCTTTTAGTCTGATATCAACTCCATGATTAGTGTTTAAGGAACAGGAATGTATTAGGAGACCATAAATCCAAACATACACTGGGAAGGGGGCAATACACACACACAGAGAAATAAAATATCACACACACACACACACACACACATACACAGAAATAAAATATCAACCTGGTTCTGGTTGAGATTGAGTTCGATGGCCTGCAGATCACCTACTGTGTCAAGTATACTCCGAATCTGGTTTTTAGAGAGATCTACTACATCCAGGTGTCGAAGACTACAAAGTTGGGGTGGTAGTGCTCCCAGCTGGTTCCCAGAGAGGCTCAGGGTCTTCAGGGCAGAAAGCTGCCCAAAGGTAGATGGTAGCTCTCTCAGGTGATTGTTGTTTAGACTCAGAGTCTCTAGCTTTTTCAGATTACATAATTCATCGGGTAGAACAGCTGGTGAAGAAAGTTGTTGTTTTTTTTAAATCTGAATCTGATAGTCTAATGTTTATAAAAAGACAGTATGGCAGCCTGCTTTATCTTGTTTTGTTTCTATTTTTGAGACAGGGTCTCATTAAGTTGTCTAAGATGGCTTTGAAATTATGATCCTTCTGCCTCTCAGCCTCTTGAGTAGCTGGGATTGCAGCCCTAAGTCAACAGGCCCGGGTTTTACATAGAATTCTCACATGCCATATTTAGGTATCATATTTTACCAACAGTGTTCGGGATATTAAGGAGCCATCGAAATGCAGAAGAGCATTTATGTGTATAATAGTTCCGTTTTGTAAAGAGGCCTAAGTATTTTCTAACAATCTAGGGAGGTTTGGCAGACCCTCCCATTCCACCCTGCCCCCAAATTAGAGAACTCTGTTTACATTGCATCCTATAAGTCTCCCAAGTCCAAATCAACCTAATAATAATGATTCTACTATCCAAGGAGGCATGCAGATTTAGTGCAAGAGGCAGAAAGCTTCAATGCTCCACCATTCTGCATACCCTGAACTGATATCATCACAAATTCAGCTTGTAAGAGGAAAAGCACCCTTCATAACCGCTCATCTCTAGCTAGCCAGGCACAAAAGCCATACTCAGTTTGTTGTTGTTGAGGGAGAGGCTCTTCAGCAGAGTGAACTTTCCTATTAGCTGAGGCGGTAGGCTGTCGATCTTGTTGTTGGACAAATCGATGGTCCTAAGGTTGCTTGTCAGCTTCTGCAACTCTGAGGGGAACTGGAGAAAGGAGTTCACAGCGTGGAAAATCCGCACCAATATACTTGGCCACCCCACCATCCCTCTCCCTTAGTTTCTTGGTCGGGCCCCCTCTCGTCTCACCTCGGTCAGACCACGGTCTTTCAGCTGAAAGACCCCAGTTTTCTGCGCTGTTTCCACATGAGCGCGGAGGGCACTGTTTCCCATCCTAGCGCTGCGGCTCAGTTCCCTACGGGAAAGAAGCATAGCTGTCACCGCCCAGTCTAGACAGACAGCCATCATCAGGTAAACCTCCCGTGTGGGTCTCCTGTCCCAGTTGTCACCTTCTGTCTATGCCTACTTCCTAGGGGGCAGCCCAAGAGTATGGCAAGAAGAAAGCAGGCGAGTAAGCAGCGCTACCACAAGATCCTGCTGCTTTGGCAGCCGAGCTAAGGCCAGGGAGCCTCCGGTAGCCGCTGCCGGGTCAGGGAACTCGAGACTCGCCTCCTACCGCTCAGTGCAGAAAAGGCTCCGCCAGGGAACACCCGGGACCCGCGCTCGCCTGAGACGCGCTCCCAGGGCTTCCGCCCGGGCGGGAACGCCCTGTGACATCATCAAGCCGCGCGGTCGTTCGCTGTGTGCCTCTCACTCCTCGCGCCAGTTCCTGAGGTGTGTGGGAGCCATGGCTATCCCGAACCCGTGGGACCCGGCGTCCGCGCCGAGTGCAGCTGGGCTACTGCTGAGCCACTGGGTGGCTTCGGGGATAGTCACTGAGGTATGTTGGGGGCGGTAATGGCGTCATCAAGGGGGCGACAGAATTCCGCTGTGAGGTGGTGGTCGTGGCTGCGCGGGGAGGGGGGGAGTGAGCCAACTGAGGGCTGTGTTCAAACCGGGCAGCGCCCCTTGGAGGCTGCGGCCTCGACCGTTCTCCTGTGGGTTCTGTAAGTGTGAGGGACGGAGTAGCCGGCGTTCCCAGTACTCTTGTGTTTTGAGTGCCTGCAGGTTTTCCCAGGCTTCTTGTCGGAGGTGGACAGCGCCCTGCTTTTTCTTCCACCGATACTACTTCCACTAGACCAGCGACTCTCAGCCCTCCTAATGCTGCGACCCTTTAACACAGTTCTTCATGTTGTGGGCTGCCCCCAGCCATTAAATCATTTTCGCTGCTGCTTCATAACTGTAATCTTATTACTCTTATGAATCGTAACGTAAATATCTGTGTGTTCCGATGACCTTAGTAGACCCCATGTGAAGGGCCGTTCAACTCCCAAACAAGCAACAGGTTGAGAACCGCTGCTCCAGACGGTAGAGTGGGAAGCCGGTGCTTAAAACAAGCATTTCCAACAACGCCCGGTTATGGGAGTTATTGAGGCATATGTGGGGCAGGAAGCCTTGAGTACAAAAGAACTCCAATGAAGACTCTTTGTGGAAGCATCTTTTAAAGGCGCGCGTGCGTGTGTGTATGTGTGTGTGTGTATGCTGTTGGAGTTTGAATGGGGGAAGCGTTTGATTTTGAGATGAAAATAAAGATTACTCCAAAGCAATACAGAGAAACCTTGTTTCGAAAAGCCAAAATAATTAAATAAATAAAATACAATAAAAATTAGCCTAAGAAGTAGTTGTTTTAGACGTGTACATACAAGGAGGAAGACAGAAAAGGGAGAGATCGAATATGTGAAGGAACAATAGAAAATGACAGGAATAGGGGGATACCAAGGACAGTAGGATTAAAGGGAAGGAAACTGCTATCAAAAAGGAAGTTGAAGCTGGGGGTGGTGGCTCCGGCCTTTTATCCTAGTGCTCAGAGGCAGAGGCAGGCAGATCTCTGTGAGTTCAAGACCAGCCTGATCTACAAAGTGAGTACCAGGACACAGAGAGAAACCCTGTCTCAAGATCCCCACCCCGAAAAGAAATCCCACAAAAACAAGTTGAGGAAAGTTAGTAATTCATCTGTAGAAATTAGTAGTGCAGACTTGATGGAAGGTTTTTTTTAATTCACGGAGGAGTTATTGATTGGAGGCTTCAAATATCCTAAAGTGTTTAAGAAACAGAGATAGAAAAAAAAAAAAAGAAAACAGACAGCCAGGTGTGTCAGTCTTAGATTTGTAATCTAAGCCCTTGGGAGCTGTGGAAACAGGAAGTTTGCTCAGAGTTCAAGGCTAGTCTGGGGTACAGAGTGAGGAGACCTTGTCTCAAACAAAAAAGAAACACCTAACATGACCAAGAAATTCATCAGCAGATTGTCAGAATTAGATCTCCTTTTTGACATACCATCTTTTAAAATGAATTGTCAACAGCCAGGCTTAGTAGTACACACCTGTAATCCCAGGGCTAGTGAATTACAGACCATCTAGGGTTACATAGCAGGAGTCTGTTTCTAAATAGATATTGATAAATAGGGGTGAACTGTGGCAAGATCGAGTTGTGAAAGAGTTTGGACTTTATTTTTCTTTTTTGGTTTTTCAAGACAAGGTCTCTCTGTGTAACAGCCCTAGTTGTCCGGGAACTTGCTCTGTAGACCAGGCTGGCCTCGAATTCACAGAGATCCGCCTGTCTCAACCTCCCAAGTGCCCGGTGAATTTGGACTTTTCTTGAAGACCCAGCATTGCTTTGAGTGTTTCAGGTGGTCCTGGCTAACTGGCTTTCACTGGAGCTGGCACAGTGCTCTACAGTTTAATCCTTCCTCACTTCTCCCCGTGTTTCTTAATACCACATTGCCTAGTTTTCTCACTTTGCGTTGTGCAGTTCTCCTGCCACAGAACTGTTGGATTATTTCATAGCTTAACACATTTGAAATTCACTGTCCTTCTAGAAAGTGTTGATAGCGGATGCAAGTTCCTTAACCATAGAATAAAGTACCCATAGGTGATTTCAGGCATTGGTAGAATCGTAGGGTTTTAGATACCTTTTTGGGTGGTAATGGTTTTATGGTTATCTTCGTATTGCCAAGTAACACACATTAGCCAGTTTCTTATTTTAATTACAGTTAAAATCTACCACTCCACAGTTCCATAAGAGACACCTTTTTTTTTCTTTTCTTTTTTTGTTTTTTGTTTTTCAAGACAGGGTTTCTCTGTATTGTCTTGGAGGCTATCCTGGAACTAGCTCTATAGACCAGGCTAGTCTCGAACTCACAAAGATCCACCTGCCTCTGCCTTCCAAGTGCTGAGATTAAAGGCGTGCACCACCAACGCCCGGCTACGAGACACCCTTTTTAACAATTAATTGAACAGTTAATTTCAAGAAAGAAACTACTTAGAGACTCCTAGGTTGATTTTACTCTAAGCGAACTTTTTTTCCCCAGCACTGGGGACAGAACCTAGTACCTTGCACATGCTAAGCAAATGCTATACTACTGAAATACTCTCAGCATTATTTGTCATATGATCTGTCTTAACAACCCATGCTTTTAGTGCACATCATTTATTTGCATTAAAAGATAGAGGTGGGGTCTGGAGAGATGAGTCAGTGGTTAAAAGTACTTGTTCTTCTAGAGCATCAGGGTGTGGTTCCCAGCACCTACATCAAGCAGCTCATAAATGCTTGTAATTCTAACTGTTGGGCATCAGACAACCTCTGCTGGCTTCCTTGGGTACCCACACACAGGTGAGTACACACACACATGCACATAATGAAAAATAAATAAAGTTTTTAAGGTTAAAGATGATGGGCAGGTGGATCTCTGTGAGTTCGAGACCAGCCTGGTCTACAGAGTGAGTTCCAGAACAGCCTCCAAATCCACAGAGAAACTCTGTCTCGAAAAAACAAAAACAAAAACAAACAAAAAACGTGACATGTAGCATTGTAATTTCATACCACTGTTCTACAAACAGCTCCTGTGTTCTTCTGTTTGATTTATCTACTGGAGGATGACTAAGTGGTGAAAGAAAGGTAGGGTTAGCTATTTGTAAGATAATGACATACTTTAGTGACCTTACATCTTAGATATGTTTCTGGCAAGATTGAGTGGGTCATGGATAAAATAAGAAAGGTTTCTGGGAGGAGACTCAGCATCTACTGTTACTCTTTTCTCAATGTCTTTTGCTTTTCTGCAGTCTATGTACACTCTTCTGAGAGACTTCTCAGCTTTTCACTTCTTTGCTATGTTGTCTCTCTTTAACTGCTCCTTAGCTAGAATTAAACATAAGGAAAGGATTACAAATTACACATCTCTATATATAAATGTAAAGTACACACCCCAACTCCAGTGTTGTGCTTTGAGACTATGTCTGGCTATATAGCCTAGGTTGGCCACAAGCTGGTGATCCTCTTGTTTCAGCCTCCTGCACCTGATTCATTGTAGCTGGAAGTTTTTATGTGTATCACCTGGTCCTGCAACCACTTATAAAATAACGCTCTGAGTCTTAATATTAATTATAATTGTTTTGCCAATGGCTCAGGTATGTTACTAAGTAGCTCTCACATTTAAATTAACCCAGTTCAATTAATCTGTGTATTGCCATAAGGATGTGGCTTACTGGTAATGCTCGGGTGTCTTTCTCGTTTGGCAACTACATGGCATCTTCCTGACTCAACCTTCTTTCTCTCTGTATCTCTGTTTGGATTTTCTGCCTAGCTATATTTTGCCCTGCCATAGGCCAAAACAGCTTTATTTATCAGCCAATATCATATCTCCCTTTTTTCTTTAGAAAGAGATTGACTATGACCATTAACCATTTATAACTAACCTCCTTTAAATGAAAACATTTATAAACAATTATTTTGGAAATTTGGGCTTAATTTTCTGTACTACCTCCTGCTGATTGGGGGCACTGGTAATATTATGGAGATCCTGAAAAAATTAAGAATTATGGTTAAATCTTGGCTGTAGTAGTCTGTGAGGCTACATTGTCTCAGCCAGTTGCCTTGAAGCTGTTCTGGATGTTGGATCATTTGGGCCATTGCTCCCATTGAAGACCTCTTGGGGAGTCTTACTTGATCAAACAATATTATCCTGGAAGGAATTCCCAGCTTCTCATCTTTTGTGGAAAAAAAAGCAGAACTTCTTTTTCAAAGCAACATGTCCTTAGGCCCAAATTTTGAAGTCAAGATACCTTTATACTGGTTTATCTTAGCAACCCCCACAAGCAAATGTTTCTCTGTAGTTACCTCGTTAATAGTCAAGAAATTCAAGGAAAATACAATAACATACATAATCTAGAATCTTTATGTATTTTCATCTCTGTATGCCCATTATAATTTTTTTATTTCTCTATTTCTTCTTTAAGGACCTCAGTTTATTATTGTTAAATTATTTTTTTTTTTTTTTTTTTTTTTTTTGGTTTTTTGAGACAGGGTTTCTCTGTGGCTTTGGAGGCTGTCCTGGACTTGGTAGTCCAGGCTGGTCTCGAACTCACAGAGATCCGCCTGCCTCTGCCTCCCGAGTGCTGGGATTAAAGGCGTGCGCCACCAATGCCCGGCACGTTAAATTATTTTTTTAATCTATGACTCTGTCTATCCTCTCTCTCCCAAGCCCATGCATACTTATCACACATGCTGTGACCCGTGTAGAGGCCTTTTTGTCTGACTATCCTTATTGTGTTATCTGTAATCTTGTTTTGACCAGGAGAGTTTTTAAAACATTAAGCAGGCTTGACAAGGATTAAAGTGGCAGCTTTGGCTGCTGGCTCCACCCCATTTGGCTTTCCAACATGGCAGAGGTACCAGAGAAAGTCATGCTCTCCCCCCACCCCCTCAACTCTGGGAAGCAGTATTAAGTAGTGCACAGCTGTGCTCTTCAGCCTGTAACTGTCTTCTTAAGCCCCACAGCTCAAATTCAAAGGCAGCAGCTGAGAAAACCTCTCTTTAGTGTGGCCCCTTTAAGAGATTGTGGGAATCTGTCATGCTGTTTAGCTATCATGGTGGTTGGTGGCCCGCTCCATCTTTGTCAGCTGTCTGGAAATGCATCTATGCATTGCAGCCAGCATGATAGACTAGGAATTCCAGTGAGGCTCGTTTCTGTGTGTTTATAGAGTCCTTCTAAAGCTTTTTGTTGTTGTTGTTGTTGTTGTTTCGAGACAGGGTTTCTCTGTGACTTTGGAGGCTGTCCTGGAACTAGCTCTTGCAGACCAGCCTGGAGGCTGTCCTGGAGTTCTTTTAGACGAGGCTGGTCTCGAACTCACAGAGATCTGCCTGCCTCTACCTCCCGAGTACTGGGATTAAAGGCATGCACCACCACCACCCAGCTCCTTCTAAAGCTTTTTTAGGTCTTTTTTTTTTTTCTTGAAGATTTATTTTATTTATTATGTATGCAGTATTCTGTCTGCATGTTTGTCTGCATACCAGAAGAGGGCATCAGATCTCATAAATAGTTGTAAGTCACCTTGTGGTTGCTAGGAATTGAACTCAGGACCTCTGGAAGAACAATCAATGCTCCTAATCTCTGAGCCATCTCTCTAGTACGCTCTTTTAGGTCTTATATGGATCCACGCCCCACTTTGGGCACCACATGTAGCTAGAAGCTTTTATGTGTCCTGCAGCTGCTTATAAAGTAACACTCTGGGGCTTAATATTAATTCTGTGGCCAGTGGTTCAAGTATATTACTTCACTTTCCTTTTTTTCTTTTTAATTTATGTACATTGGTGTTTTGCCTGCATGTATGTGTGTATGAGGGTGTCAGGTGCCCTGGGACTAGAATTACAGACAGTTGTGAGCTGCCATGTGGGTTCTGGGAATCAAACCCTGGTCTTCTGGAAGAGCAGCCAGCACTCTTAAGCACTAAGCCATCCCTCTAGCCCCTCACTTTCCTTTTTAACTGTTACTGACATAGTACACATTTTCATCATCTCACCTGTTTAAATATAGGACTTCTAAATATGTATTGTGTATGTCATGTAACTGCTTCATTAGAAAATGTTCTGTTCCTCCCTTCTTTGCTTGATGGCTGATTAGAATAGCATTCAGCATCTTCTGCGATTATGTCCTTAGCAGAGTAGATACTTATTCTGGTTACAGATTTGCCTTTCCAGCATGTAATGCTTCTGCCAAAAATTTACCATCTGTGTACTTGCAGAATGCCTATCCAATGCCTATTCCACACAGTGTTACTTCTGACCAAGGAACTCACTTCATAGCCAGAGAAATGCAACAGTGGGCCCATGATCAAGGAATTCACTGGTCTAACCATGTTCCCACCATCCTGAAGCAGCTGGACTGATAGAACATTAGAATGGCTTTTTGAAGATATAGTTACAGCTCCAGTTAGGTGGCAGCAGCCTGGAGGGCCAGGGTTGGGTTCTCCAGAGGGAAGTCTGTACTTTGAATCAGCATCCAATATATAATATGGTTTCCTCTCTAGCCAGGGTCCATGGGTCCAGGAGTCAAGGTGTGGAAGGGAATGGTTCCACTCATCATTACCCCTAGTAGCCCACTAGGAAAATTTTTGGTTCCAAAGCAGCTAGTGTTCTTGCCAGGAAACAAGGCAACTAGAATCTCTGACTTCCCTCTTGTCATTTTAGGCTTCTGATTACCTTAGGCCAACAGGCTAAGAAAGAAGTAATAGTGTAAGGACGAGTGATTGGTCCAAATTACCAAGGAGAAATTAGATTGCTTCTCCATGATGGAGGTAAGGGAGATTATGTCTGGAGATCCTTTAGGGAGTTTCCTGGTGCTACCATGTCCTGTGATTAAAGCTAGTGGGAATACAAGAGATTGATCCAGGCAGGATGACAAAGGGCACAGACCCACCAGGTCTGAAGGTATGGATCACTTCTCCAGGAAAAGAACCAAGACCTGCTGAGGTGCTTGCCGAGGGTGGAAGAAACACAGAATGGTTAGTAGAAGAAGGCAGTTATAAATACCAGTTACAGTAGCAAGGATTGTAATTGAGTGTTTCTGTCTTTTTTTTTAAAGAAAGTACGTGTTTTCTTTCCTTGATTTCTTTATCATGTAATGTAATGTCAATTAAGAGAAGGTCAGTGGTTATCATATTTAAGCTTTGAAGATACTGAAAGAATATCCCTGGATTACCACCTGTTCTAAGATTTATAATGCATTCGCAGTTGTGCATGTGATAGTTGTATGGTGTTAGGTGTAACTATGATTTGGTTATTGTTTTCATTCAGAAATTAGGCATGAAATAAGCACAATTGTGCATCAAGGTCACAAGGAGTGGACTTGTGATACTTGTCTTGGTTGTCAATTTGACTGCATTGTGGGATTAACTAAAACCCAAGAGCCTTGGCACACCTAAGGGAGTTTTCTTCTTCCTTCCTTCCTTCCTTTCTCATTCCTTCCTTCCTTTCTTTTCTTTTTCTTTTTTCTTTTCTTTTTTTTTTTTTTTTTTTTTTTTTGAGACAGGGTTTCTCTATATAATAGCTCTGGGTGTCTTGGAGTTTGCTTTGTAGACCAGCCTGGCCTCAAATTCACAGAAATTCACCTCCCAAGTGCTGGGATTACAGAATGGTGCATATCACCACCACCTGGCAAAGGTTTTATTTTGTTTGTTTTGGGGCTTTTCTTTCTTTCTTTCTTTCTTTCTTTCTTTCTTTCTTTCTTTCTTTTTTTTTTTTTTTTTTTTTGGTTTTTCAAGACGGGGTTCTCTGTATTGTTTTGGAGATAGATAGATAGATAGATAGATAGATAGATAGATAGATAGATAGATCTTTTGAAGTAGAAGATCCCACCTTTAATCTGATCTTTTGAGGTGGGAAGATCTACCTTTAATTTGGGCTACACATGCTGATGGTGGTTTATATAAGGACATGGAGGAAGAAAGGGCTTGCTCTTTGCTTGCTTGGCCTTGTTCTTGCTGACAGCTTCATTCCTTCATTGGCATTAGAACCTACTTTATGATTCTGGCATATACTGAAGACCAGCTGAGACATCCAGCTTCATGGACTAAGTAACTGTTGGATTCGTAGACTTCCTGTTGGTAGACAGTCATTGTTGGACTAGCTGGACTACAGCCTATAAGCTACTCTAATAAATTCCCTTTCCATGGATGTATAGATTCATTCTGTTCCTCTAGAGTACCCTGACTAATGCAGTTATGGACTTAACTCTCTGAAACTGTAAATCCCAAATCAAGCACTTTATTTTATTAGTTGCTTTGGTTATGGTGTTTTATCGAAGCAAGAAAAAAGTTCATAAGACATATACCCATTTATGTATAGCATATGATAGAAATAGGCTTTCCCCTAAAAATTTACTAGAGAACTCAGTTGTCTGCCTTTCTGTACATGCAGTTCAGGCCAAAATGTTCTTCATACCCTTTAGGAATATACTTGTGTAGCTACTTTCTAAATTTGCTTGTTACCAGAGGCAAAGAAACTATAATATTGTTAGTGATGAGAATATATGTAAAATAAAAAGAGAGGATATGTATTGCTACATGTTTAATGTGTTCTTTGTATTAGGGAAGTTTTGGACATGATATCACATTTATTTATTTATTTATTTATTTATTTATTTATTTATAAGACAGGGTTTCTCTGTGTGGTCCTGGCTGTCCTGGAGCACAAGCTGTAGATCAGGCTGGCCTCTAACTCACAGAGATCCTCCTGCCTCTGTCTCCTGAATGCTGAGATTAAAAGTGTACACTACCACTGCCTGGTTACATAATGTTTTTAGTCCCTTGTGTATGATATTCTAATGTTTATACCTTTTGTAACATACTATGCTTTCTCTGTTCACTTACCAATAGGAGATGTTAGATATTTCTAAGAAAACGGCTCCTTGCTTTGTGAACTTCTCCAGATTACAGCAGATCTCAGATATTCAAGCTGAAATCTACCAGGTAAATTGTGAGATTTTTTACTTTACTCCATTTAAAAATGTGTGTACTATGCTAGGGTGTAGTTCAGAGAAAATGTGGATGGTTAGCATACAGGATGTCCTAAAACAAACAAAAAAACCCTCTCAATTGGTTTGAATAGCATTCTTTTGCAATTACAGCAGTGCCTAATACATGGTTGGTGGGTGCTTGTTGTAGTAGTTAATTGTAATAACAGGAACGCAAGATACCAAAATGAAAAGCTCCAGTGACTTACCTGACTTTTATATAAGCCATCCTTCCATCTGTAGCATGTCCATTTTATCAGTGTTTTAAGTCTTTAACTTCAGGTCACTTTCTGAGTGATCTAAAGTTTCCTTTTGCTCCTCATGTAGAACAACCTAGAAATTGAACTTCTTAAATTAGAAAAGGACACAGCAGATCTTATTCATCCTTCCTATTTGGGTAAGTTGCTTGCTTAAGAGACTAATATTAGGATTTCAGCTTGATCTTGAATTATTGTATATATAAGCACCAGGCGGCAGAATTCTAATCTCATAACCTTTCCCAAGTATTGTCCCATAACTAACATGTTTTCGGGGCTTTTTGTTTGTTTATTTGTTCTATTTTCTTACTATATTCTCTTGGCTAGCTTAGAACAAATCCAATTGACTTGGCTAGTGAAAATAGGATATAGAAAGTGACTAGGTTGAGGGGCTGGAGAGAAGGCTCAGATGTTAAGAGCACTGGCTGTTCTTCCAGAGGTCCTGATTTAATTCCCAGCAATCACACAGTGCCTCACAACCACCTATAATGAGATCTGGTGCCCTCTTCTGGTGTGCAGGTATACATACAGGCAGAACACTATACTATACATAATCTTAAAGAAAGGAAGGAAGGAAGTGACCAGGTTGATGAGTCTATTAATCTCCATTTCTTTCTTCCTTTTTTTAAAGACTTATTTATTATGTGTACAGTGTTATACACTGGTTGCTGGGGATTGAATTCAGCACCTCTGAAAAAGCAAACAATGCTCTTTAACTGCTAAGCCATCTCTCAGCCCTAATCTCCTTTTCCATTGCCACAACAAAATATCTGAGGCTGGATAGCGTACAAGGAAAAAAGATTTATTTTACTTACAGTTTTGGAGTATTCAAGATACATAGCTCAACCATAGTGAAGTCCACATGGTGGATGCTATTCCAGTACTAGAGCTCTTGGCAAGAGAGACATCACATTGTAGGACAAGAATCCAGAGTGATTTAGGGATCAGTCTCACTCTTTCATAACACCCATTCCTAGAAAACTAACCAGTATTCAGAGACTAGGCAGAACTAGGTTTTTGTGTTTTTTTGAAGGGCTAGCTACCAAAGTTTAAGAAGTAGAGTAATGAGCTGGAGAGATGGCTCATTGCTTAAGAGCACTGACTGCTCTTCTAGGGGACTCAGGTTCAGTTCCCAGCACCAACAGGTAGCTCTGTAACTCCAGTCTTGAGGAATCCATGTCCATGGGCACCAGGTACACACATAATATGTACACATACATACAGGCAAAACACCCATACACATAAAAATAATTTTTTTTAATTTTTTAAATGTAGTAAAATAATAGCACTCTGCAGCAGGGAGGGTTCTTGTTTGTTTTATTTTGAGACGGGGTCTCAACTATGAAGTCCTGGCTGGCCTGGAACTCACTTTGTAGATCAGGCTGGCCTTGAACTTCTGAGATCACCTGACTCTGTCCCCTGAATCCTGGGATTAAAGTCATGTGCCACCACATCCAACTCTACACCACCATAGGATTGCCTGGAACTGGAATTACAGATGGTTGTGGATCCTCTGGAAGCGCAGTGAGTGGCCTTAACCATTGAGTCATCTCTGCAGTTCCCCAGGCAAGCAATTCTTAGAGATTCTGAAACATACTTGTCCTGTTGCTAACTGTGGTTGCCATCTCTGGTTTATGTAGTTGAGAAGTGTGACACTCTGCAAAGCATGAATAATCATCTGGAAACGGTGCTAAAAGAGAAGTGGGCCATCAGGCAAAGACTGCTGAGACCCATATGCCAGGAGAGCTTGCCATTGGAAGCAGTTTATCACAGGTCAGAGCACAAAGCAGAAATGGAGGATTATGCATGCCTTTTTAAGGTAGCTTTTGTTTAGACTGGCAGTTATGGTGTAGCATAACTCACAAAGCAATGTTATTGAGTATATTTATTAATATTACTAATATTGATATATTAAACTAGATAGTGCCCTTTGTTTTTAAATAATTATAACTGAAAAAAGACTTTGTTTTGCCAATTGTGTTTTAGAAATTATAAATTATGGTTTGATGAAAAATATTAGATCCCTAGCATACAGCACAGTAAAATCTGTTTTATTATGTGTAGATTGTTTTCTATGATGAACATTTATTATTGTCTATATATAAAATTCTGTTGAAATTTAACAAAGAAAAAACATTAAAAGATGCACAAGCTGAAGCTAGGCATGGTGGTGTTCGCCTTTAATCTCAGCACCGAGCAGGCAGAGGCAGTGGATCTCTGAGTTTGAAGCCAGGACTATGTAATATAATGAGACCCTGTTTTAAAAAGACAGGGGTTGGGGATGGCAACACAAAAACTGGAAACAGACAGGGGTGAGGTCTGGGGGATGGCAAAACAAAAACTGGAAACAATTTTTTTGGGGGGCAGAGTCTTATATATGCTGGTCTCAAACTTGCTGTGTCGTCCAGAATGAAAAAAAACTGGACTTTGTTCTTACCTCTACTGATACTATATCTCAATGACTTTCATCAATGCATATTCAAAGGAATTGTGTAGTACTTTATCAATGCACTGTTTTTCCTTGGTGTCTGTTCTCTGAACCAATATGAGTTTTTTTCTAGGGAAGGAGTCCTATATGAGGATGCTTATTACCAACAATTGTGGGGTTTCATCTTTTCTTTTCTTTATTTTTGAGATAGGACTCCTTGACTGTCCTAAAACTTACTCTGTAGATGAGGCTGATCTAAAAACACAGAGACTCCTGCCTCTGCCTCCCAAGTGCTAGGAATAAAGATATGTTATCACCACACCCATTTTGACTGAGAGTTTTCTTTTTCTTTCTTTTTTGTTTTTGGAGACAGGGTTTCTCTGCAACAGCCCTGGCTGTCCTGGAACTCACTCTGTAGACCAGGCTGTCCTTGAACTCACAGTACTGGGATTAAATGTGTTTGCCACCACCGCCTGGCCCCACAGCGGGTTTTCTGACAGATGTCAGTTATCATGAATACTATGTCTTCTTTCCATTTTTCTTTTTCTATTTTGGATCTTTTGAGGCAGGTTTTCTCTATGTAGCCCTGGCTCTTCTAGAACTTGATCTGTATACTAATCTGGCCTGCAAATCACAGAGATCCGCCTGCCCCTGCCTCCCAAGCACTGGACACTGGGATTAAAGACTTGCAACATGATGCCTGGCTCATTCCATTTGGTGGGGGGTGGGGAGGGCAGGGTGGTGGTGGTAGTGATGGTGGTGGGATATGACAATCTAAGTTTTGCCTTATGTAAAAGAGAAGACCCTTTTCACTGTTGATAATCTCATTAAAATGTTAATGTTGTTAGTTAGATTTGCTTATTTCAAACAGTCCTAATTAAGCAAGACAACTAAAGAAGAAAAGCTAAGGGGCTGGAAAAATGGCTCAGTGGTTAAGATCACTGACTTTTCTTCCAGAGGATCCAGATTCAATTTCTAGCACCCACATGGCAGCTCACAATTTTCAGTAACTCCAGTTTCAGAGGATTCAGTGCTCCCTTCTGGCTCCCATGGGCACTGCATGTTTGTGGTGCACAGATACACATGTAGGCAAAATACCCACACACAAAATAAATATTTTAAAAAAGAAGAAAAGCTAATTTCTTTTCTTTCTGTATTGCTTTTCTTTTCTAACCACTGTAACAGAAATACCTAACAGAAGCAACTTAGTTGGGGAGAGGTTTATTTTGACTCACAGTTTAGAGGTAGTATATCAAACATTGTTGGGAAGGCATTGTGTCTAGTGTTCAAGTGGATGGTCCCTGCCACTGAGGACTTCCAACCACCAGGCTCCGCCCATAGAACACTCTAATGCCCTCAACTTGGAAGCCCACCAAGCCCCACTCTGGAAAGCTGTGTCTGTTGTTATATAAACCGTCTGCTGCTTCTCACTCCTTACCCTAGTAGAGGCAGCTACCTTCCTGGGGTTTTCCCTACAAATCTCTTTTGTGGGTTCTGTGTGCTATGTAACATTGTAGTAGCTCTTGGCTTCTGACTGTCAGGGTACCTTCCCCTTCAGAGCTGTAACACTGCACTGGGGAAACACCCCACCCTCCCCCCCAGTAGAGCTGTAGTACCATAACACTTTCATTGGGGAATCCTTTCCCCTCAGAGCTGTAACACTTATAGCTAGTGCAACTCCATCTGTGGGGGCAGGATTGTGGGATGGCTTGTTCACATCTTGATGGATCGTAATTGGAGAGCGTCTTCAAGGACTGCCCCCAGTTATCTATATTTACCAACTAGTTCCTGTGCCCCAAGCTCCAAAAAGTCCCCAAACAACATCACCTGATTGGGACCAAGTATTCAAACACAGGAACCTGTGGGACAAATTTACATTTACCCATACACTCTCTTTCAGATATATGGTACATTTGTTGGAATTGGCTGTGACTTTCATTGAGAAGTTGGAAACCAATCTTGAAACAATTAGAAATATCCCTCATTTAGATGCAAACCTAAAGAAAATGGTGAGTAATACTAATATAGCTGCACTTAGTTCTTTTTTTTTTTTTTTTTTTTTTTTTTTTGGTTTTTCGAGACAGGGTTTCTCTGCGTCTTTGGAGGCTGTCCTGGAACTAGCTCTTGTAGACCAGGCTGGCCTCGAACTCACAGAGATCCGCCTGCCTCTGCCTCCCAAGTGCTGGGATTAAAGGCGTGCGCCACCAACGCCCGGCTTTGCACTTAGTTCTTATATTAGAATCTCAGCTGTGTGGACCTTCCCATTGAGCTGTTTGGTTTTGATTTTTTCAATAGTCTCACAAAGCTCAGACTGGCCTCATACTCCTAAATTAACAAACAAAGCAAAGTATTTATTTCATAATAATATTCTCATATGGTTGTGTGATTATTACCCTTTGCTGTACTGTGTTCTCATCTTCTGCTGTCCTTGTGTCTCCTCCATCCAGCTCTTCTTAGCCCTGCTGCTTCCTCTGGATAGTGTCTCCTTTTATTAGCATGTCACATGTGTTCTCTTACTCTTTTACCCTCTCCCTCATCCCTTAATGTGTCCTTTCACTGTTTCCACTTTACATTCATGACACATAGACACACAATTCAAATCTAGGATACACACATGAGACAAACTTATGGTGTTTGTCTTTCTGAGCTTGGCTAATATCACTTTGAGTTAGCCATTATTAAAATCATGAATCAAAAGAAACATTTTCTTAACCAAAAATGGTGCCCTACACTGATAATTTTAGTACTTGGGTGCCTGAGGGATATTATTGTGGCATTTTGGGGCTAGCCTGCACTATGTAGTAAGTTCCAGAGTAGCTTAAGCCACAAAATGAGATTCTGTCTCAAAGCAAAAAGAAACTTTAAAAAAGAATATTACTTTGCCAGGTGGTGGTGGTGCACACCTTTAACCCCAGTACTCGGGAGTTAGAGACAGGTGGATCTCTGTGAGTTCGAGGCTAGCCTGATCTACATAGCAAGGTCCAGGACAGCTTCCAAAGCTACAGAGAAACCCTGTCTCAAAAACCAAAAGAATTACTGTAACACCATTTCCATTTTTTTACTCCCTTCTCACCTGGTTCCCTCCTCTTACCTCACCCCCATACCCTAGTCTTGCTATATAGTTGAAGCTGGCTTCAAACTCACTGTCTTTGTTTTGTTTTGAGTTTGTTTTTGTTTTGTTTTGTTTTTTGAGACAAGGTTTCTCTGTGAAGCTTTGGAGTCCATCCTGGCACTCCCTCTGTAGACCAGGCTGGCTTTGAACTCACAGAGATCCACTTGCCTCTGCCTCCCGAGTGCTGGAATTAAAGGCGTGCGCCACCACCAACGCCCCACTCACTGTCTTTTTGCCTCTGCCTTCCAAGTGCTGGGATTTTAGATATATGCCACCACACCTAGCAAGATGTATACTTTTTACTTCATAGGATTGTATTTATAGAAGTATGAAATAAAATTATTAGGAGTTGCTAACTGTTGGTATAGGGAACTGGGAACAGGATAGGACATAGAAAGATTTTAGAAAGTTTTTAGAATGAATTTGAAGAATCAGTAAAATTTGAATGTGTGTCAGAAAGACTAATGTGGCCAAAGCAATAGTGTGGGGGAAATTATGAGCAGAGAGCACAGATAGCTTCAGGGGAAAGTAGTTTCCACTTTGGCTAAGGTGGTAGATTGGTCAAAACTGTGCTTTACTCATGGAGAAAATACTGAATAGACTAGATTGATCCCTGCCACTAAAGTATGGATAGGGAGGATCATTATTATCTGGAAGATGTTAGAAGTACAGACTTTCAGGGCCAAGGATCAGCTTGCTGTAGTGCTTTCCTAGTATGTGAAAGGCCTTTGTTCCATCCCCAACACCAAAAGAAAAGAAAATTGCAGAATTGCAGTCTTTAATCACCCTCACCCTATACCTTTAGAATCTGTTTTTATCTTTTTTTTTTTTTTTTTTTGGTTTTTTGAGACAGGGTTTCTCTGTATTGTTTTTGGAGGCTGTTCTGGAACTAGCTCTGTAGACCAGGCTGGCCTCGAACTCACAGAGATCTGCCTGCCTCTGCCTCCTGAGTGCTGGGATCAAAGGCGTGCACCACCAACGCCCGGCTAAGACAACTTTGGTACACACACACATGCCTGTAATCACAGCACTAGGTTTGGTAAAGTAGGAGAATTGCCAAGAATTCTAGACTAGCCAGATATAGTGAGAAAGCCTGAGCTTATTTGCATTGAGTTGAAAATTGATGATAGAGGAGAAGTGAATTCACAGATAGAAGATATATGTGTTTGGGTGGGAGTAGAGACACAGTTTTATGGAATTGTTGCAATAAGGGACTAGAAAAAGATCATATGTTAATTTTTGATCTGTTTTTGATATAATGGTAATCAATAACAGATTTTTTTTCTATTTTTCTTTATTTGAAATATTACAGAGCAAGGCATTAACCAAGATGGATATTTTGGTGAACAAGACAGAAGAACTGGCAGAGAATATACTCAAGTGGCGAGAACAACAAAAGGAAATTTCCTTGTGTATCCCCAAAGTACTAACTGAAGAAAGTTATCTTCACGGACTTGATATAGTGCCTACTTTACCTTTTGTTTCTAAAGTTCATGGCCAAACCATTAATGCCAAGTGATTGGCATCTTTCCTTTTGTTTAATTATGTGTAGTCAAAGAAGTCCATTTCTAGGTAATTGTGACAGGAATCTAGGTTTTGTTGCTAGAAACACTGAAAAAACCCTCTGAATTTTCGAGTACCAGGGCCAGAGAGATGTCTCAGCAGGGAAGGGCTCCTGCTTCAAGCCTGACAATCCCTGGACTCAACCCCTGGGTCCACATAGCTTTTTTTCATATATTTTCACTCTCTTCCGTAAAGTTAAAAAAGATCAAATATGTTTTTGGTAACTTGTTATAAGTGAGTTGAACACTCTTCAGATAACAGGTTCTGCATCATGATTTTGTATCTCTTTTAAAAACATTTCTGAATTGGAGTATTCTTGAATCTGAAAATTTCAGTGGTGATTATTCCTGTGAGACTGTAGAATAGTTCTACAGCAGGCCTGTTACTCTTTGAAGGACTGATAAGGTGTAGTTCCTTGACTGGCACATCTGGAAACTCATGTAATAGGAGGATGAGAAGGGCTTAGTGTGACCATGCTGTGCAATGTGGTTTGTGTGGGACACTTGCTTTCCTTCTGAAAGTCTAGGATGTTGGTGCATACCAAACAGAAAGTGCCTTTGCTACTGGTTCCTGGCAAAAATCTGGAGCACACATCCATAACAATTTTGCTGGTGGACAGCATTTCACAGTGTCAGAGTTCAGCTGTGAGTATGATGACACTAAGTCTTATATACCCTCTTAACAGATCACAGAACCATGCCGGGCGTTGGTGGCACACGCCTTTAATCCTAGCACTCGGGAGGCAGAGGCAGGCGGATCTCTGTGAGTTCGAGGCCAGCCTGGTCTACAGAGCGAGTTCCAGGACAGCCAACCTCCAAAGCCACAGAGAAACCCTGTCTCGGAAAAAAAAAAAAAAAAAAAAAAAAAACAGATCACAGAACCTAGCTGTGTTCTCAGGAATGCCTGGGAAACAAATGCTGAGGATGTGTGTGTGCTAGCAGCCTTAGGACAGGCAAAGAAGAAAGATTCAAGGGGGGGAAAGGCATATTGTGGTAAAATTTAGAAATTTTGTTTTGATATTTCTTATATGTAGCCCAAGGCTGGTCTTAAACACATGATCCTTCTTGCCTCAACCTCCGGAGTGCAGGAATCACAGGTATGTGCCATCACATCTGGCTAAAGCATAAAGATTTGTAGTGGATAATATGATATATTTTACCTACTTAGGGTTATTCATAAAATAGAGACTAGTATACTATTATTAAAGTAGCGATAGTAACAATTGCCTTGAGGTATTTTTATTTACATTGTTACTGTAAGTACTTCTGGCTTATGTTTAGACTGGGATTCTGTTTTCCATACTGTTGCCTTCTGTGTCATGGGAGTTTAGCAAACCTTCTGTTCATCACATTTTTAATAGAAGACTTCACCTGTTAGGTAATAAAGTAGATGTTCATGAAAAACAGGATCCTTACCCCACATCCCAATAAAGGCCCTGTTAACAGATCTTTGTCTTGAAAATGTACCATAGAAGAGTGGTGTTGAGATTTTGAACATCACCCAGACAAATCATCAAAATCCTTATTTGTATTTCATCTCAAATCTCTTTCAACATCTAGTCATTTTCCTTATATGATTTCTTGTGTGTATGTGTATATACACATGTCTCCACTATTAATATCCCGGGTGGTTTTGTGTTTTTATTTCCTATTAATGCCTCAAGATGTAAAAATAAACATTTTTTTCTAAATGTTACCCAGACTGGATTCAACAATCCTATGGTCTCAGCTTACCAGGTTGTAGAAATACAGGCATAAGTCACCATGTCTGGTTTGAACAAATGTTTTTTCTATTTTTGTGAAACTCAAGGGCAGGCAAGTGGGAGATCTCTGTAGCTGATGGACAATAAAGATCAATAAGAAAAGAAAGCAATGAGTTAAAGGTCAAGAAAACAGGCAGGAGCTGAGATGGCTAAGTGAGTGGAAGTCCCCATGTAAGGGTGAGGACCTGAGTTCAAATCCCCTGAACCCACATAAAACTGGACACCCTTCAGAGGGATGGGAGGCCAAAGGGAGGGCCAGCTAGCCTCTTAAATGCAGCTGCAAACAAGAGACCCTGTCAAGGTAGGTGACAACTAACACCCAAGTTTGTCTTCTGACTTCTGTTCATGTGCCATGGCTTCTCTATGACGACAGTCCTGCACATGCAGAGCTTCAAAATAATTTAAGCAGGCTTAGCAGTGGAAATCTTTGAGTGGCTTCTGAGGGTGGAATGGGATGTCAGGCAAGCAGACTGACAAAATTTATAGATGTGATTCCAGTATAGTTATGTCAATTTTTAAAGGCTATATGGGAGGACTCTTCTTAGCTTTTATTGCTTTATACTTAATACTTTCTCTGGCCTGTGACTGCCACATTCAGCTCTCATTTGTCCTTTAAAAGTTTCATTGAAGTTAGAAAAGTTGTCTAAGGGACAAGAGGATCTAAGAAATTTCTCGACTTGAAGAAGCCATAATATGGGGAGTGAGAGGGGAGAAACCATAATACAGTTGATATTGTAATGCCTTCACATATTGTGAGATTTTTCTGAGATGCTTGTAAAACATGAATTCACATAGAAGATGCTGGAGAGATGCTTCAGAGGTTTAAGAGCACTGGCTGCTCTTCCAGAAGATGCAGGTTTGAATCCCAGCACCCTTATGCTGGTTCACAACTATCTGAAACTCCAGCTCCTGGGGAATCCATCAACCTGCTGACAAGGTTTATAGATCTGCCAGACACACATCTGTAATTCTAGTGTTAGAGAGGCAGAAAGGATTCTTGGGACTTGCTGGCCAGCCTATCTAGCCAAATTGGTCAGCCTCAGATACAGTGAGAGGTTCTATTTCAAAAAAGACAGTAAAGAGTGAGGGAGATACCCAGTATCTACCTCTGGTCTCCATGTGCTCCTGAACACACATATGCACAAACTTGAATGTGCACACAAATCAAAAACAGGCTCAGTCTCAAGTAAATGTGGATGAATAATTTGCAGTGCTGAGGAGCAAACCCAGGGCCTATAGTTGAGATGCCAAGACAGAAGGATCACAAGTATAAGTCCCAGGCCAGCCTGAGCTACACAGCAAGATGCTGTCTCTAAAAAACAACAAACTTTGGAGTTTGTTCTTCTTACCTTAATGTAATTTTTCTTTTCTTTTTTTTTTTTTTTTTTTTTGGTTTTTTAAGACAGGCTTTCTCTGTAGCTTTGGAGGCTGTCCTGGAACTAGCTCTTGTAGACCAGGCTGGTCTCAAACTCACAGAGATTTCCCTGCCTCTGCCTCTTGAGTGCTGGGACTAAAGGTGTGCACCACCATAGCCCGGCACTGTTATGTATTTTTTTAATGAAGCAAAATTATTCAGAGAAGGGTGCGAAGAGGGCTAGAAACCTGGACTCTGAATTGTAGGGCAGAAAGCTATCTGCCCTAAAGGCAGGGATAAGGAAATTTAGGACAGGTGGAGACAAAAGAAAGTGAAAGAGAAATGAATCCTCTTCTCCTCTTTGGAAGCCTGACACGCTTCTGATTCCCCAGCTTGTGTGTCATTTCTTTCTCTGGTAAATAAGCATATTATATTCCATATTGCATTGACCTCCCATCTCACTGAATATTTGATTCCATTAAGGAATCAATATACTTGGTTGTTACAATGGTATTATATGTCAAAAAATACACACTAAAATAATTATGAAGTGGGCTTTTTTGTTTTTGTCTTGGGGGTTTTGTTGTCTTGTTTTGTGTCTTTGAGATAAGATCTCATCTAGCCCAGGCTGGCCTGGAGTTTGCTGATCCTTACTAACCCTGGGATAACGTGTGTGTACCGATTCTCCTGATTTCTGCCATCCTGGGATTTGAGCCTAACTAGGGCTCTGTGAATACTAGGCATACACTTGACCAACTGTGCTACATCCCCAGCCTTGAGTACAATAATTTTAAATATAATGCTGCAATTATATCATGCTTTATAGCCTGAAGATAGAAATATAAATCCAGCAGCAGTTTTCATTGCAAATCAGCATGAATAGAGATTCTATCCAGGAGACTGGGGTTGCAAGTGAGTCTAAATTGTAAGCCAGCTCTCTAGTAAATTGCTTTATTGGTACTTTAAAATGGACAAGAAAAAGGAACCTACATGACTCATCACCCTGGTTCTGCCACTGGAATACTAAAGTAACCACCTGACCTCTCTGGGTTTCTACATGCCTCACTTCTCAGACTAGCCAGAATAATCCTTTAAAGCTATAAATCATGGGCTCAGCCAATCAGGGGCTACCAAACCTGCCGACCTGAATTTGGTACCCCACATGAATGGCAGGTTGTTCTTGCTAATCAGAGGATGACATAGGCAATGTCTATCCCTCCTCCTAAGGTCCCAATTATAAACAGCATGGACTCACCAAAGTTCACTCTGAGGCACCAACGAGTGTATTGGGATTCCTTATGAAAGAGATGGGTTACTTAACAGGAGTGTGGGTGCTCTTCTCCCCCAAAAAGCAGACTTCACCAGCAGGGATGATGGCTTTCCTGTAGCTGCATAGATGTAGGGCACCCCACTTTCCCCCTCCCCCTCCCATGTGCTCTAGCTTCTCCCCAAGGGTTTGTGCAATTAGGACAGAATTGCATACAGTAGATGGTATAGAGTGACTGAATACCCAGGTGTCAGTCCCATGAACTTCCCTACCTTCCATAAGGGGATGTAAACAACAAGCCCAGCTGATAGTGGTTGTTTGATATAAAAGTCAATTATGACATCCCTGATCTCCACTCACAATCTGTGGCGCGCGCACACACACACGCACACACACCAATTTGAAAATTAAATAATTTTACTCTTTTCTACCAAACTTTCCTATGGTTTCCCAAATTCACTGAATAAAATCCAGAGACCACGATGGCTCATGTTGATTCTGCCCCTCCATCTACCCCACTTAGGTGCCTGCTTACATGAGGCCTTACATTGACCTGCTCCCTGTGTCTGCCCTTTCACAACTTAGCTTTTAGTTTCCTGTTTTGATACCAGGTCTTGCTATTCAGTCCATGCTAATATGGGACTCAATGATCCCACCTCAGCTGAAGCAGAGCCCTGACCATAGACCCCTCGGCCCACCATGGCTTACTGATCCTGTTTTCTTTGCAGCTTTCATGGTTTTCTAAGTTTTTATTAAGGCCTCTCTTGATTGCATTTCAATTTCATCATGCGTTCCTACTCACTTCCTATCTCCTTTTCTATCCGTTACTTTTTACCCTTTAGCTAATTTGCCGTATGTTTAAATTGTTTTACCCATTCCCAGCTCTATGAGGTCAGAGATTTTGCCAGGCTGATATGTTTTTATTGCATAGAACAACACCTGCCTTAATAGAGGCTTACTTAAGAAATGCTAGGAAATACAGTCTCTGAATGGCTGCCCAGCCTTGCTTTCCTCAAATATATTAGAATGTCAGCATTATCAGTGACTGCTTGCTCAAAGAGTCTGTATAAAATAGTAACTTCTCCAGGTACATACTCCATTTTATTCCCTTTTATTTTTCCTTGTACTCAGTGTCTTTCACCATGTTATACATTTAGGTATTTATTTCCTTTTCCAGTTCCCGTGAAGGAAAAGGCTTTGCTTTATTGTGTTTTTATTTTGTCTTGTCTGTAAATCTTTAAACTCTAAATTTACTGTTAATAATTTAACAATGGCTAACCCTGCACCCATCCCTCTCTGATCATGATGTAGGAAGAGTTAGGAGTCTTCAGGGGACACATTTGTCACCATCAGAAACAGACGCTAGTTTCTGTTTTTGTTGTGTGATATCGGAGCTTCCTACATAGCTGTCTTGGAACTCCCCATTGCTATAACTCAATGTTTGTTCATCAGCACCACCGGGCAGGAAGGGGTTTTGGTCCCTTCACCTTCGAGCTGGGCTTGAGGCTTTACAGATGTGAACGGTTCTGATCAGACAGCATTTACTCTGTATTATAAACACTGCTAGGGTGGCAGAGAAGTTCCAGGGAAAAGAAGAAAAACGAAACGAAAAAACCCTCCTCGTTAAGCACTCCTTGGAACTGCAAAATCATTTATTTTGCCCATTTCATTGTTTTGAGACAGGATTTCACGCTGCACTCCAAAATGACCTCAAATGACCAAGTACTGCCCAGGTTGACCTTGAACTCACAATAATATTACTGCTTCAGCCTCCACAAAAGGCTCCACCTCATTTTTGCTCCTAAAATTTAGCAGCTGTTTTGACATCTCAGACCAACAGGGTAAAAAACAATATTTAGCAATTTACTTCCCGAACTTTGAAATAATAACCAAAAACTTTGTCACCAAATCTTAAAACAAAGGAGGTGTTACAGCACGCGCGGGGCGTCTGAGGAGGTGAGAGGGGCAGAGCGAGACTTGGTGGTCCGGCCCACCTGTCTCAGAATTGGCGGGAGGCTGGGCGGGCCGGGTCCCAGTCGGGCGGTGGCTCGTACTTGGGCGGGGCTATCCGGGGAGGTGAGAGGGTGGAGCGAGGCGAGAAAGCCAACCCCACTTGTCTCAGGATTGGCCACCACTGGGAGAGCTCCGCCCCTGTTGGGCGGTGGCTCGCACTTGGGCGGGAGCGTTCGGGGAGGTGCGAGGGAGAGAGGCGGAGCGGCCCTGCGTTCTCCCGCCCACTCTAGTCAGGATTGGCCGAGGTTCGGCGGGCCCCGCCCCCTCGGGCGAGGCTGGGGCTGCCACCAGGAGGCGCGTGGGGGCGGGCGGGGCAGTCTGTGGTTGTTGCTGTGCCTGTGACTGGGTCTTTTCGCTGGACGCCGTCCAGGGATGCTTCCGCTGGACCGCTGTGCGGGTCTTGGGCTGTGGCAGAGGCATGGCGAATGTGCGGGTGGCCGTGAGGGTCCGGCCTCTCAGCAAGCGGTGAGTCTGGCAGGAGGGGCCGCCTGAGGCGTCAAGTGAATTGAGAGGAGCCCGAGGTCCCAGGCTTCTCCTCGGTGGATTGGGGAGGAGAAAAATCAGACTCAAAGTGCCCGAGGGCTCAGGGTCCAGAAGCCATGAAGGCACGGCGCGACAGGGCTTCAAATTGAACTTTCGCTTCGCGTCCTAGGAGATAGCGGTTCCTGAATGGCTTCAGGGGTCACTGCCCTGTGTGCACGTCCCTGGCATCTTGCCAACAAGAGTTTCTAAAGACCCTGGCTCAGGTCTTGGGGCACTTAGTAGGGCCCTTCTCATGCATCATGACATGGGAAGGTACAAAAGGAGGGGCAGTCTCCACACCTCTTGGTGTCACGGGAGTGACCAAGTGAGGAGTGGAGGGTGTGTGCTCATATATACACATGGAATTCCTCTGTGGGGACTTAGGAAAAAGAGCGGTCAGGGTATCGGAGGGAAATTGAGGCCCAGAGAGACTGGTTTCAATCTGTGCCCGACAGCTGATGTGATTTAGGAACAGAATGTGACGTGGGGGAAGGGGAAGTTATTTCTCGGTGCTAGTTCTTTGTGCATGAGCCTGCTTCTACACCTCTTAACCCTTGAGGCGTCCAGTGTGGAGCTCCTCTTCCACTCGGGCAGTCAGAGAAGGCTCTGCACAAGAGTTGATGTCTGAACTGTTCTGAATGATCTTTGAATTTTCTGACAGGTGGGGGCAAGTGCAGAGCTCTGTAAAGTAACAACAGGAAGAGAACGTGAATTTAGGCTGTTTGGGTATAGATGGAAACCTTGGCCATGCTTGGATAGAAGCAAGTGTGTGAAAGTGATAAAATTGACAGAGCGTGGTTCTAGGCCAGATGACATGTGTTGGAATTTTTGTAGGAAAGAAATCTTAAATGTCCAGTACACAAGATGGTAAATGGAGACAGGCCAAGAAAGGCATTGTCCCCTATGATGGAAATAATACTATGGGGGCTAAGTTTGTCCATGTAGAGGCCATTAGCTTAAAAAAAATTGGACAGAATGAGAACTGTGTGATAGGAGGAACACATAAAAAGAATGAACCATGCCAGTGGTGGTGGCACACGCCTTTAATCCCATGCTCAGCAGTCAGAGGCAGGCAGATCTCTGAGTTCCAGGCTAGCCTGGTCCACAGAGTGAGTTCCAGGACAACCAGGGCTGTTAGTTTTTAAACATCTCACTTTGCATAACTTCATGTGGTGACTCAGGGTTGGAGGCTTCCTGGGAGTAGCTACTATCCAGGAGGAGGTAGCTGCTGGTAGATCTCATCCTTTCCAAATTAACTTTTAGGGTTCTTGGGATAGTAACATTGACCACTCTTAACTTTTTAGTTCCTTAGAAACCAGGAATTTCAAAGAGCATGGATTAGATTAAGAAAACGATGTTGAAACTTCTTTGTTAGTTGCAGTTGTTACAGAGAATAACATATCTCATCCAACAAAAATGAAAAAACAACCAGGAAACGTATTTACTTTTATCTCCAGTGAAGAGGCTTGAAAGTAAGTGGTAGATTGTCAAGTCTCCTGATCTCCAGGTGTGAGCTGATTTTTAGCAGGCTGCAGATTCACAGTCACTGATTGGGAGCGGCGTGGGGGGTAGTTATGTAAAAACCTCAGTGTGATCTCAGCTAAGACATTCAGACAAGACCATTCTTCCATTCCCACAGAATTCTGTAGAAATGGTGGTGGTCATCACTATTCATTGACACTGTTTTGCATGTGGAGAATTGCTGATTATGTAGTCTGTTCCAACATTCAGATAAGTCATAAGCACTGATACTGTACTTGTGAGGGAACCGTTAAAGTCATCTAGCCCAAGCTTACATTATTTTTTTCCAAACAAGAACATGGCCTTGCTTAAGTGATAAAAGCAGGATTTGATCCAGTATACCACACCTCCGCCTCCTGAGTGCTGTGATTAAAGGCCTGCACCACCACCTGGCTCCTGTCAATTTTTTTTTTTTTTTTTGGTTTTTCGAGACAGGGTTTCTCTGTGGCTTTGGAGGCTGTCCTGGAACTAGCTCTTGTAGACCAGGCTGGCCTCGAACTCACAGAGATCCGCCTGCCTCTGCCTCCCAAGTGCTGGGATTAAAGGCGTGCACCACCAACACCCGGCTCCTGTCAATCTTTTTATGAAACATTTTATTAGCATGTGTTAGTTGTACAAAACAATAGGCTTCTTTATGACATTTTCACATATGTATATAATGAACATTGATCATATCACCTGTTACCAGCTTGTGTTTAATCAAGTGTTAGTTCATTTTTAGTGATTTTATTCTTCTGGCCTCTTTGGTGTCTGTTTCTTACTTTTTTGAATTTTAAAAAGGAATAAGTACAAATGTATAGCCTCATGGCTATATTTCCCTCTAGGACAGTGATTTTTCAAATTACAGTACACATAAAATCCACCCAGGAAACTGTACTCCTCTAAACATTTAAATTAACTCAGCCTTCATGTATTCCTCTTAATTCTGATATAGGCAGCCTGTAGACTTCTGTTCAAAATCTTTGACTCAAAAGAATGGATTGGGCTGATGGGCTCCAGCAGCTAGTGGCAGTGGCGACTGCTTTGCCTTGCTTAGGGCTTTTCCTTAGTAGGTAGTAGTGGCTTCTTTTTGTTGTTGCTTTAGTTTTTTGTTTGTTTTCCAAGACAGGGTCTCTCTGTGTAGCCCTGGCGGTCCTGGAACTCTCTCTGTAGACCAGGCTGGCCTCGAACTCACAGAGATCTGCCTGCCTCTGCCTCCTAAGTGCTGGGATTAAAGGTGAGCGCCACCACTGCCCAGCTGAAGCCAGCTTCTTAACTGAGATTGAAGCCCTTTCTGCCCTCTTAAAATTTAATGCCAACCTTTCTGTAGGTGAGCAGAGGAAGGTGGGACAATTTTACCTTCTTGTGGACTGATGATCCTGGAATATTAGAGACATCTCTGGACTTGGGGTGTGGCTGAGTGGTTAGACACTTCCTGGATGTATGAGACACTGGGTTTGATCCCTTTCACCACGAAAGAATACCTCTCTCATGTACTGTTTTCTGTAAAGTGCACAAGAAAATACAGTAAGGCCTTAAGGGGAAAGAAACAACACAAACTTAAATTTAAGTAAAAAAAATGCCACTTAACTAGTATTTTTTTGGGGGGGTTGGTTTTTGTTTTGTTTTTCAAGATAGGGTTTATCTGTATTGCCTGACTATCCTGGAACTAGTTCTGTAGACCAGGCTGCCTTTCAATTCACAGAGATCTGCCTGCTTCTGCCTTCCAAGTGCTGTGATTAAAACTAGAGAGAAATTTTTTACCTAGGGCTTTATTCCAGATACAGCAAGTGCCTTCAGTTAATGAGTCATCTTGCCCTAGCTGGGGGGTTTTGTTATAAAAAAGGTGGGCTTCAGATGTATGGATCACCCGAAAAAGCCTATTAAATATGCCTATTAAAATGAATGTTGTTTAGTACCCAGCACTGCAAGAAAGAAGTTGGAAGTGAATGTAAACGTTGGGTAGTTGCTAGCAGTGTTAGCATGTAAGGACAATATAGGAAGATTTTTAAGTACCTTGTCTTTCACCCTGACTTCAGATATAGAGCATGCCCAATGTTTCAGCAGAGAGGACTCCAGTACTCTTTAGTAGTACTTTGTTTAATGGTCCAGAGACAGTGAAAAATGGTTTTGTGTGCTGGGCCAAAGGTATTTTCCAAGTCTGATTTTTAAGGCATAGTTAAGAATCAGACAGATCTGGATTTAAATTCCAGTTCTGCTGGTCCTAGATGGGTGGGCTTGGACAAGTCATGTAATTTTTCTAGGCTTTACTTTAAAGTTCTGTCAAAATAAAGATATGCTATGAAGCCATATCAGGAGAGTAGGGTGGATGAATAGATTACAGTATCCCTACCTGATATAGTACTTTATATATAGAAGATCACCAAAATAAGTGGTGGTGATGGTTAGTGATTCCAGAATCAAAGTGTATGATCAGGAAAGTATACCCTCAAGGGAGTCCTTATGTGCTTTTAGCTGTTTATAGAGACAGGCATTCACTTACTGGAACAGGGACAGAAGAAAACTAATTTCTTTTTCTTTCTTCATTTTATTTTATTTTATAGTGTGTGTGTGTGTTTTAAGTGGGTGCCAGATGTGGTGGCACATGCCTGTAATTCTAGCATTTGGGCAGAAGAGATAAGAGGAGCAGAAGCTCAAAGCCATTTTTGACTAGAGGGTGAATTTGAGGCAGCCTGGGCTACCTGAGACTGTCTCAGAAAACAATACAAAGTGTTTATTCTCATTTGAATTCTGTCTTATTTCTTAGGGAGATCAAAGAAGGGGGAAGAATTATTGTGGAAGTTGATGACAAAGTGACAAAAATCAGGAATGTAAAGGTAAGCCTACAATTGTTTTTGTTTTCTAGATAAGAATCTTTATATTTAAAAAGGGTCTCAGGGGGTGAATATTTTTAATATATTAGTGAGCAGTAGATGTAAGAGGATTGTGGGAAAAGCCTAGGCCAATCGTAAAGTAAATAAACAAGAAAAGAATTATGCTTAGCGTCCAGAAAATGTGGCTTTGGAGTCCCATGCTGTTAAATAGAATAGTGCAGCTGTTTTGGAAACTGATAGTAGCTGCTTTGAAACTAAACCCAGGGTATCTAATATGGGCTGTGATTAGCTTAACTCAAGGGCAATTTGTATGTCTATGCAACTCACCTGGCCACCAGTTAAACTCCATCATGAGCCCCTCAACTGACAGTACTTTATCCAGGGAGTTATTAGGGATTTTAGTATTTGCCTGGTAATGCAGGGTTTGTTTCGGATATACTGTGGTCCAGATGTCAGGCATCAGTCTTTAGACCCCGAAGGGAGTTAGTTGTCACTAGCCTGAATCTTGTGGCAGATTTTTTCCCCCTACAACCCTACTTAACTTTGGAGCACAGTTGGACAGACACAGGGAACTTCCTTCCCTCCTCTCCACCCCACCCTCCAGAGTCAACTTCCTCCATTCTTCCTGACTAGGAAGATGAACAGGTTCTTCTTTTGTGGACCTTGAGCAGTGGAAAGAATCCAGGGAGGTGATCATATGACAGATGCTGTCATTAGCTTGTGGTGTAAAGCCAGCATTCCCAAGAATTGAGGAAGCTGAGGCAGAGTGAAGGTTACCTAGATCCCAGGCCTCAGTATGCCCTTCCCTTGTTAGTTCTGTGATGTGATTTGTTTCCTCTTGTGATTAGTGCTTGTTAAAAGAGAAAGAGTCCTGGTTCAACAAGAGCTCCTGGGGAACAAAGGACCATTCCTTCCCTACCTTCTCTTGTTTATCTCTCATGCTAATCACCTCACCTGTTTTGTGTAAGATCTCACACTTTGAGTCTAGAGAATAAAGTTTGTCCAAGAGAAAAATTTCAAAAGCAAACTTTTAAAAATATGCTTATTATTTTATATGTATGGGTGTTGTGCTTACATGTATGTCTATGCACCACATATGTACCTGGTGCTCTAGGAGGCTGGAATTGGGCATCAGATCCCCCAGGCCTGGAGTTGCAGGTGGTTATGAGCCACTGTCTGGTGCTGGGAATCAAGCCCAGATCCTCTGGACAGATAGTCATTGCTCTTAACCTCTGAACCACCTCTCTCAAGCCCCCAAGAACAAAATTTCATTTGCCCTCTACACATCTCCCTAGCTGTTGACTCCCATAAGATCAGTTATCCACCAACAAGCTCTTACTCATTATGACATTCAGGTTCTTCTGTAGATTTTGAGTGGTGAATGTCAGAGTTGCCTTTCCCTTTTCAAACTTTATTCTTGTCTAAAATGTGTTTGGGGGGTATATTTTCTTAGTGCTACAGCCTCCTCTGTAAGCTGTGCTTTCCCTTCTGTAGGCTGGCAGAGGACAGTGGAGCAACCAGCACGCAAACTGTGCATGCCTACAGACTGCGGTGATTTTGTAGTATCCTGGCCATCTTACAGCCATGAACTAAGAATTCAGGATGTGCACCAGGTGTCCATTCTTGAGGTTCTTTTCTCTGGAGAGGATGAAGGAGATCTTTTCAAGAGATGTTTTCTCATAGGGAGATCATTATCACCCAAATGCCACTGTTTAAATATTTAGACTAGGCATTTCTGTGAAGAATGTTGGCCATTCTCTCCAGTACCCAGAGCTCAGCGCAGTTCCAAGTTTTAGCCCTACCCTCATCTGCCTTCAGCCACTGGATTATGCCTGGTTGTTCCATTTAATACTGTTTCCAAGTTGCTGAGGGCAGATTCCTCAAGGATCTTAGTGAAGGCTCCAAGTTGATGAAATAGGCTGGACTCAGGGACTGTACTATTCATGCTGTCAGTATTCTGTGCAGAAATACTTAGGGAAGAAATGAGTGCTGAAGATGTTCATTAAAAGAGGCTTTCTCTCCTGAGCTGTCCTATGGCTCAGGTGTGTGTATGCAGACACATGCTCCTGTAATAGGCATATTTAGTTCCTGGGTCTTTATTTGTTCCTAGTGAGATGGAGACAGAGGTTACCACTCTTCTTTTGTGGCTGTCATAAATATTATAGTGTTAGTCCAGGTCTCTGTAATTATCAGAAAGCATAATCAAGAGCCACTGTCCAGATTCCAATGACATGACAGGGAACACACTGGTGCTGTGTTTAATTTCAGGTGAGCAGTCGACCAGAGAGCTTTGGAGATAGCCGGGAAAAGGTTGTAGCATTTGGCTTTGATTACTGCTATTGGTCAGTCAACCCGGAGGACCCTCAATACGCATCTCAGGAAGTGGTAATGTCATTTTTCCCTCCATTCTTCTGTTTACAAATTTTTCTGTAAATTTGCTTTTCAAGGTCATTATGGCAGTTGCAAACTGGAAGTACTCTAACTGGTACTTTAAACTTTGAGAAAATCTCAATGAAAACTTGTTTTCAAGAGGAAAACACTCTAATACATTGTGGAATGTTTAAAGTTATTTTCATAGCATTGTCTCCTCAGTTTTTCTAACTGGATACTTAGGTAAATTAGCAGGGAATCTGGGTGATGGCTGTTTTTTTATGGCATATTGGTTAGAAACTAATAATGTTTTCATCTGAGAAATGATAGTTAGTGGTATCAGTTTTTCTTTTAAATGTTGCCAAGAGGTGGAAGGAGGCTACGTGGTGAAAGCGTGGGAGCTTTCCATTTGAGCCTCAGTGTGGTTCTGGTGTGGGTTAGTGCAGATGGTCTTCTGCTATTGTAATAGGTCTGTGTCTTAGGGTTTTCATTGCTGTGAAGAGACACCATGACTATAGCAACTCTTATAAAAACATTTAATTGAGGCAGCTCGCTTACAGTGTCAGAGGTTCAGTCCATTAGCATCAGGATGGGGGAGCATGGCAGCATGCAGGAAGATAGATTTGATGCTGAAGCTGGAAGTCCTACATCTTGACTCAGGCAACAGGAAGTCACTGAGTGAAGCTTGAAAAAAAAGACCCCAAAGCTTGCCCCTAGTGACACACTTCCTCCACAAGACCACACCTCTTATAATGCCTCTCCCTTTGGGAGGCATTTTCTCTCAAACCACCACAGTCAGTAAGGCTCACCCCAAACATGGTCTTGAGTTATGTACAGCAGAAGGATTGAGGAGTCCTAAAGGCTCATCTCTTCTTAGGATCTTACATGTGTACCTGTGCTCCTATACAGAATGTGAATGGGATAGGCAGCTAGTCTGCCAGTCTGCAAGAGTATAGAAGGTGAATACCAAAGATCTGCTCACTAAGGGTTAAGAGCACCAAGGCTTTGCTGGCTGAATGTGTCCTGGTCATCTTTCCTATGCCTTGTAGTTTTGTTTAGCGCTCTCTCTCTTTTTTTTTTTTTTTTTTGTTTGTTTGTTTTTTTCAAGACAGGGTTTCTCTGTATTGTTTTGGAGGCTGTCCTGGAACTCACTCTGTAGACCAGGTTGGTCTCGAACTCACAGAGATCCGCCTGCCTCTGCCTCCCGAGTGCTGGGACTAAAGGCGTGCACCACCACTGCCTGGCTAATTTACCATTCTTAAGGCAGATCTTTGTTGATGATTAAAATTGTATTTATACCTTTTTAAAAATATTTGGATTTTTAGCTAAAACTTGTCTTCAAAATTGATTGATCTGTTTTTCCTGGTGTGAATCTACACTAATGCTAACCTGTTTCAGCTCTGAAATTAGACCCAGATTTGAATTAAGGCACAATTAATAGTTTGCTGTCTTATTTGGACAAGCTACTTAACCTCTCTGTCCTGTTTTTGTTAGGTGTGTGTGTGTGTGTGTGTGTGTTTTGTAGTAGTGCATATCATATTAAAGTACTTACGTAATTGCTCATGCAGTAGGTAGATGAGTGAGTTTTTGTGCGCTGTGACTCAGATGCTGACACGATGAACAAACAGTACATGAGAAGGAAGTGCACTCTTTTTCTCTACCCCGTCATTGAAGCTGGGTATTCCTCTTGGGGCCAACACACTCCACTTGGAAAACTCAGCTAACTTCCTCCTGGTGATGAACAACTGTTGGGGCAGGAGTTCTCTGCTCATACACATTGTATTTGCCCTATTGTATGCTTGTAAAATTTTCCACGAGAAACTTTAGCTCGGTTTTCCCCACCAAGACGTCATTGGCTGTTTGCAACAAGCCAGCCTGAGTCAACAAAAAGCATGTTCAGGAACAAAAGGCTGCCCTGCCCTTTGCAAAGCAATTGCTTCTACTCTCTTGGGAATCTGCATTTTAAAATAGTTTATTTGGCTAAAACACATTACACAAACATTTGTAACTTGTCCAGATTAAAAATTGTGTGGGTGAGGAGATTTTTCTCTCTACAACCACTGATTCTAAAACTAAAATTATGGTAGTAAAATGATTGTGTTTGGTGGTGTTTTTCTTTTTTTTTTTTTCATAATACACTGAATACCAAACCCTACACAACACAGAGTGTGTCACTGTAAGCCTTTTAAGAGGAGGGAGTGGAAAGGAAACAGCAGGGAAGGGAGAAGGAGTAGACTGAGGGGAGAGGGAGAGGAAAAGAAATAATAGCTCTTCACCACTTTACTGAGAGAATGTTAGAAACCTGGAGAGGCTAGGGAGGGGAACCACATGTTCTCCAGAACGTGATTGTATTCGAGGGACACGGTAAAGAAACCACCAAAATGGCTGCTCCTTGATTAGGGGGAGGTTTTTATTGTGGATAAGAGAACATCTAGAGGCATCTGGAAGAATCCAGAGCAGAAAGAAAAGGAAACTGACTCAAGGTGGCCAGGTCTATTTTCACGAGAGGGGGCCAACTGAGGGAGGCAGAGAGCTTGGGGGATGATGGGCTGATATCTGGAACAGCCTGGGGGCCAGCATAGTGCAGGAGGAATTGGAGAGAAGGGCCAGGAGTACTTGTGAATAGGGACTGAAGGAGCCTAGAGGCCCGCACGGGTTTTGATCTGCAACTATGGGCATATGTTAATGGAGAGCCTATGTCTCTTCTGCTAGAGGTAAGGGGAATAACTCCTTTTGGTGACTGAAACTGAACAGGAATTGTTTCACAAGTTCCTGAGGAATGCTGGCTTTATTCAGCCATCAGAAATTCTTCTATAGTCCAGTTTATGCTAAGCCAGGACTGTCATTTCTGGACATAGGCACTGTCTGAGACTTAGCAGTGATTAAAGGATTGGACTGCAGGAACCAAAATGACAGCTGCCATTTGTGCAGTGCACCTCATGTACATTTGGATGTGACTGCTTAATGACAGACTGCTGAGTCAACTATGCAAAGATTGGTGATAATGCCAAGTACAGAACATGGTGAGTTTACAATCTATGGAACATGAAAAATAGCTGGTCTTCATTTCCATTAGAATAAGATAGATTACAATAACTTTACAGGGAATTGTGTATTACTAAGATGTAAAGAATAACTAACAGAACTTTTTTTTTTTTTTTGGTTTTACGAGACAGGGTTTCTCAATATTGTTTTGGAGGCTTTCGGTCCAGCCCAGCCTCGAACTCACAGAGATCCACCTGCCTCTGCCTCCCGAGTGCTGGGACTAAAGGCGTGCGCCACCACTGCCCGGCCTAACGGAACATTTTAAAATTCTGATATGTGGTAGCTAAGTAGAGTTTCAGAGAATTGAGTTGGGTACTGGTGCCATTGTGCATACCATTAATGCCAGGAATCTCTGGATTACTTGGGCAACACAGAGACCTGTCTCAAAAAAAAGTATTAATTAAAAGGCCAGTGTACTAATACTGGAAAGAGACTAGACACTATTCAAGGTACTTTGTGTGTGTGTGCTCTAGTGAATGTGCCCAAGGTTGACTTTTGATCTTCCATTTTTTTCACATTTATGTTGTTTTTTACTATTTTTAAAATTTTATTTATTGCTGAGTGTTAGTGATACACGCCTTTAGTCCCAGCACTTGTGAGGCAGAGGCAGGCGGATCTCTGTGAATTCGAGGCCAGTCTGGTCTACAGAGTGAGTTCCAGGACAGCTTCCAAACCAATACAGAGAAACTCTGTCTTGAAAAAAATTGTTTATTATCATGTGTATGTGTGTATAAATATAGAGGTCAGAGGATAACTTTATGGAATCCAGTCTTTCCTTCCACCTTAAAATGGGTTCCAGGGATTGAACTCAGCTCGTCAGTCTTCAAGGCAAGCACTTTAACCTTTTGAGCCATCTGACTGGCTCCCTACCTTTCATTCTTTTGAGATAGTCTCTCCCTGAACCTGAAGCTCATTAACTTGGATAGGCTGTCTAGCCAGTAAACTTCAGGGATCTGCTTGTCTCCTTGGAAGGGTGTGGGGGAGGGAAGGGCCGTTGTAGAAGGGCGTTACAGGCACATGTTGCCTGCTGGGTCCTGGAGATCTGAACTCAGGTCTGCCTGCTTGCATGGCAGACACTTTACTGACTGAGCCATCTCCCCAGCCCAAAACATTTTATATTTTGCTTTTCTATATATTTTGAGACAGGATCTCATGTATCCCTTGACTTCAGTCTGCATGCCTTTGTGGTTGATCTGAATGGGAGTCTATGGAATGGAGAAAGTTTAGACAGGGGTACAGAAAAGCTAGAGTTGCAGGGCTATGCATTCTGATATAATTGTAGCAGCAGCAGCCTGAAATCTTATTGAGTTTGTTTTATCCACCTGAATTGAGGTAGTGGTTTATTTTATACAACTGAAAAAGGAGGCAGGTTTAGCCAAACTTAGTAGGAGATATCTATAGGCAAGCAATTTCAGACTACAAGCTGTGATGAATAGTTTATGTGTACACTAGTTTTAGCTGAAGGTCAGTCATTTTTAACATCCTTACTAGGACCAGATGAAGGCTTTGCCATTCCCATGGGTCTGAGACATTGGGGTCCTTGACATGGTTTTGCTTGTCAAAATACACGTTCACTCGGGACTTTACCACCACCCCAGAGGCCCTGAACCTGCTATGTAACTGAGATGACCCTGAATTTTTGATCCTCCTGCTTCTACCTCTGGAGTGACAGGATTACAGGTCTGCACCATCAAGCCTGCTGTTATAGAGAGATGGGGAAATCACACCCAGGGCTTCATGCATGCCAGGCAAGCACTCTACCAACTCTCTCTCTGTGTCTTTCTGTCTCTCTGTCTCTCTGTCTCTGTCTCTGTCTCTCTCTGTCTCTCTCTCTCTCTCTTTCTCTCTCTCTCTGTCTCTTTCTCCCTCTCCCTGTCTCTTTCTCCCTCTCCCTTTTTTTGTTTGCAACTCCAAAATTGTCCTTAAGTTGCCTGGAAATGTCTGCTGTTTATTGTGTCGGTAGGCAGGCA